GTGACATTTCCGAAAACACAAAAACAAAAAATTAAGTTCGTTCACAACTATGACAAACTACGTTTTAAGTTTGTTCACCACAGTGAAAGAAGCACCGAATACGTTTTAAATTTGTTGGGTGTGTTCTCGAAAAACAAAGAAATTAATTAATAAAAATCAATCAAAATAGTCAAAGAAAAAATAGAAATAAGATGGAATAGAGAGTGGCCGGAGCTTGTGCAACGCACAATATCTTTAAGACGTATTCGTTGCCTCCCACGGTGCTAGGAGCGTTGCAATGACCGTTTCCCATGATACGGTGGCTAACGAGCAATCGTTTGAGCACACAAACGACTGTTCCGGTGAACGAGAACAAAGGCGAACACTTGGGAAGTTTTATGAAAACTGGAGGTGCGCTTTAGCTCTAAAATAACGTGAACACTGTGTTGTGTACGAACTTACACGTTCGTGTGTTGTTGCAAAGCACCTGCCAGCTTAATTATAGGGAAGAATTTGTTGTGCACACAAACGAGCAATCGTTTGAGCACACAAACGACTGTTCCGGTGAACGAGAACAAAGGCAGAACACTTGGGAAGTTTTATGAAAATTAGAGGTGCGCTTTAGCTCTAAAATAACGTGAACACTGTGTTGTGTACGAACTTACACGTTCGTGTGTTGTTGCAAAGCACCTGTCAGCTTAATTATAGGGAAGAATTTGTTGTGTGTTAAGTGTGGCTGTAACGTTTGAGAAGTGAATCAGAAGAGTCGGATCAGAAGCATCCTGATGCGAAATAGAAGGGTTCTGCTCCGAGCACGCAGGTTGCCCGCGCACGCAAGTTGCGGTTTTTCTTCTCCGTTTTTTGTATTTGATCGACAGCCCCCCTTCGCGCAAAGAGAACCTTTCCACCTAAGAATCTTAACTCTTTCAAAGAGGGTTCCCTTTATAAGGGGGTAGACATCCCTTGGGTTTTCCGGTGTGGGATATATCACACTAGAAACCCATTATATTCTTAGTTTTCTCCATTCCAATGAGTGAACTTCGAGAATCAATTTCTCATTCACCCATTATCCATTTTGAGTGTACAATATATCGAGTTGTAGCCCTTAACAAGAAGAATCCAAAACCACTTTGACCCGACCCAAATCGAAAGTGGACTCCACTCAAAATATTGCCCCAAATTGACTATTTAATGCAATTTTTAACACATTTTTCCAACAATTAGAAACTTCACCAAAACTTTACAAGTAAAACAAAATCTTCATTTCCTCTCACCTCGTATATTCAAACCTGGAGTTCTTCTTTAAGTTCCATTTTCTCAACACTTGAAAATCGCATGAATATAACTCCTCAAAATTGAGTAATTTTGACCTACAGAAATTGAAAAATCTATCTTTTGGATCGAAAAAAGTTAAACATGTGAGTACATCTATATTTGACCTACAATACCAACATAGTATTAATTTAGTACATAGATAAAATATATCCACTCAAAAGTGATTATATTTTGTATATAGTTTGCGAACACGTCTAGAACGATGTATTGTATCTTCCATGTTTAGAATGTCAATTTTTTTCTTCAAACAAATGTTACTGACTTAATCATTAAGTTGTGATATGCTACTTCGCCAAGTTCAAAACTTTGACCAATTATATAAATTTATTGGAAATTATTTATAATATAAAAATGATATGAAAATGTTATTTGTTAAAAGTACTTTCATAAAAGTATAAAATTTAAAACTTTCATCAAAGTATTAAACTAATCAAAATCATGGTCCAAATTTTAGGATTTGGCTATGTATTTCGGGACGGATGTAGTATAAAACCTTCCTATTAAGATGTCTATTCAACCAATAATTTGTAATACCCATTATGGACAATATACTTCAATAATAATTCAAAATCAATCAAGTTATTCAACTCAAACTATTTATTCTGCGCCCAAATAAACAACTTCGTATACAAATATCATTTAATCCATAATAACTTTTTAATGCAGACTAACATTTTAATCCAAATATCACTTAATAGAAAAAAGTAAATTACTCTTGATATCAGGAATTCTCCCGCTTTACCTTTGAGGTTATTCGTAAATAGAGATAAAATATAGAAATTTTTTCAAGGAGGAGTGACAACATTTTGTTACCAAAATAGGATTCACGCACTCCTATTCAAGAAAAATTCTATTCTTTTATTATTTTAACATGATTAAATAAGTCATATGTTGAGAAAAAAACATGTTCAATACTATCTCCGCCCCGATTTTTTTAAAGGAAATCACAAAACTATATTAATTCAGACAATCGTTCGCAGTTACAATCAGCCAACAACTTAAAACTCTCCATCATCTATATCCCAAAAAAATCTATCTAGACTCACTAAAAGTCTTACAATCACACACTAAGACGGTCACCTTCAAAGAAGCAACGCAAATCGCTGACCACCAAACGGGCAATATAAAGTTCTTACTGACCCTTAAGGTCACAATACTCTTCTCCACTTTACTAGATTCATAATAGCCGAAAAGTCCTCTCAATCCTTGATCAGACATAGAAAAGTTTACCATAATTCAAACGAAACTTTTCGCTGAATTTACGGAAGCTTCAAGGTAAACATCCCAAGACTGCCACTAACACAAATAATCCAAAAACTAGGTAAAATGTCTAACGAAAGAGAAATAAAGCTTAAACTAAAAATAAAAACTGAGCAAGAAATGGTAGTTTTCCAAATCCTAGTCACTCTTTCACTCCATGGTGGTGGTTCAGGAGGGGGCGGACCATTAACACATCACTTTTTTCCTCCAAGACCAGACAATTGTAATCTTGTTGAAAATCATCAAACTCAGCCAATTTCTTGTTTATCTCATTCTCGGATTGAACCCTATTGATGATTTCGGACCTCTCCATAGTTTATCCGTTGCACAACGTCACCCAAAACTCGGAAAGAAATTTGTGCCACAGCCTAAAAACGGTTCCTAGAATGCCGATGTATGGCCACATAAAACCCTAGGCGACGTAGCACCTCACTTCCGCATTTTCGAAATACAATTGGGTATCTTCTCCTGTCAGTTATGACTTTTCCAATTTAAGCTTCTCGTTGAAAATGACATACTTATTTAAAACTAATAAAATAAGATAACTCGAGAATATTTAAGAAATAATTTTGATGGATATATAACATAATAATGTCATTGATGTGTTATTTTTAATATTTGATAATTAATTTGTCATTAGAGTGTTAAAATATTTCCTAAATTATAAATAAGAAGGTTTATCTGGGACATCTAAAAAGGCAAGTGAAAAACTTGTGCTAATGACGGGAGTAATAGTATAAAATTGAGGAAATTCCCTAAATGGGAGTAAATAAATCCTTAATTGCTAAAATAGGACTAAAGTTTAAAAATTCCCTAAATAGGATTTATTATTTGTAGTTGGACAAAGATGCCCTTGAACATCGGTAACATGCTGCCACAGACACAATGCCGGACAAGTGCCACTCGCCGGCCACCGCCGTGGCCTCAAAATTGGACACCATTGCAGATCTGGCCTCCACCGTCGCAGACCTGACCGCCACAGCCGCAGATCTGGTCGCCGGAGCCATAGATCTGATCATCGGAGCCATAGATATGGCCGCCTCCATCCACCGACTGCTCCCCCTGCAAATCCGGCATCCGCCGCTGCATCTCTGGCCGCCTCTGCCGCTATTGCCAACATTTTTATCGGAATGCCAACATGAAATTGAAATTTCCATTTGAATGGCATTTTCGAAAGGAAACACAGATTTTTCGAAGAGTAAGAATGCCATTTTGATGGCATTTTCAGAATAAATTTGGCAATTTTAACAAGTAAAGAAGAAATCGGAAGCGTCAGACCTGAGGGCTGTGACAAAAACAGAAGAGGGGTAGTACAACGAGCTTCATTCTGCAGCAAAAGATCTGGATCGGATTTGTCCCTCTCTGCTCGACCCTGTTCGCCTCTGGTTTCGTTGCTAGCACATGGTCGTCGCAGTTGCTCGCCGCTTCTGGAAACTCGATGTTGCAGGTTTTGACCGGAGAAGATGAGGAGGTTGGAGAAGAGCTGATGCGCAGAGAACAAGAGAAGTGATGCTCGATCATGAGCGGAAAGCTAACGCTAGTAGAAGGGGTAAATTTGGAATAGTAATCCTATTTGGGAATAAAAGTATATCTACTCCTGTTTGGGAATTTACACAATAATTTAGTCCTAATTAAGGTAAAAAACTCTATAAAGTTTTGAGTATGTCTTAGGATGTTTTATTTGGACCAGTTTGACAGTTTGAGTACCAGATCAGATCAGAACAAATCAGAACAGACAAGACATAATTAGATCAGATCAGAACAAATCAGAACAGACAAGACATAATTAGATCAGGTCAGACCAAACTTTGGTAGTGGTAAAATATGCATAGATCAGATGTCTCACACAAGAATAAACGAATTCAGACTATATTAGACTTAAATAGATAAACTAGACAAAAAAAATTAGATACAAATAAAAATGCATTTAGAGTTATGGTAGAGGTACAAAAACTTTTACAAAAAGTCTTACAAAAGGGGTATGTGGCATCATCACATTATTTAACGCATCACATCACATTTACAACACTTTTACATCAATGGTAATTAAAATAGCCACATCACTTGTTTGTAAGTTTTTTTGTAAGTATATTTGTACTTCTAGCATTTTTCATGCATTTAATTGTACTTCTATGACCAATTTCTTACGTAGTACTGGAGTAGTGGAGTATTTATCTTTCATTAATCATTATCACTCCATAGTATTTAAGCATTTTAAATGGACCCTAGAAAGTGCAAGGAAAGCTGGACGAGAGACCCGGCTTAACGGCTAGCGAAAAGCCCAAATGCAATGGCACACCGAAATCCCAACGGCTAGTGATTTTGCTGGCTCGAGACGCTCTAACGGTCACTTTATGCCATTATTATTCAAACCCTACTTGCGGATTAAGTCCTATAAAACCATCTTCTCATCATTCGCCTTAATCACATCTCTCCATTTGCTATTAGGGTTTCCTCCACTGTTTAAGATAATTGGTTAACTGTCTTGGTCGCAAAATTCCAATGGAGACTCCATCATCGACTAGAAGAGTAACCAGATCGCAGGCCAAAGCTGCTGCTTCTGCAAACACCGTTACTACCAATAACATCCCCATTTCAAGTTAGTCATTTTTATTTATCCCTCAACCGTATGTGTTCCTGAATTCAGTTTCAATTTTCTTGGCGTCAGATAAATTTCAAGAATCTGGAAGGAACAAGTCGAAAATTTTGAAGAATATCTCAATATAGTTTGGTTTTATTTATTTTAAAAGATTTTGGCGTTCGTACCCATTCTAGGTTCTTGAACTCATTGCTGACTTTCTTGTTCTTATCTATTGATCTTTTATTCGATCAGCAAAAGATATCTTTTTTACTCAACCATCTACATCATTGAACTGGTTTTTCTCTTATTTTTTCTTCTACTTATGTGTTTTTCTGTCCAAATCTTTCTGGGGTTCAGAGATGAGAATAGAAGAATCTGAAAAGAAGAAGGGACAGAGGAATGATACTCAACAGCAAGAAAGAGGTGCACTTGTTGACATAACCAACGATTCACCCATTATAGGGCTGGCAATGGGGGGTGCCACATCATCAACGTCGTCAACAATGGTGTCCAAGAAGAGGGTGATGATGGTGAAAACTACAAGTCCAGGATCGGGGGAGGCTCTCTTGAGAGGTCAAGTCAAAAACTTGTTGCAGAAGGTCGAAGAAGATGAGTCGCATCTCGTCTCGATCAAACAACTCTCGATGGCAAATAACAATAACAATAGACCTTTCCTTCACCTTCTTCAAAGCCCAATGCATCTTTTTCTTGCTCCAACCCCGGCAAACACGCCCCATCTAAACCCTCCTGAAAATATGTTGCCCTCTGTCACTCCAACACCTGTTGAAGACAAGCTCACTATCTCTCAGGTATTTATTTTATTGTAGACTTCTGTTCGGATCTAGGAAAACATAGGGAAATGGAAAATATATTTTGCCTAAATATTTGCTTGGAGTCTTTGAATTGAGAACATTAAAGAGTAGACCCTTTTATTTTTACTCTCATTTTGTTGCCAGATCATGTGCTATGATTGTGATTTGTTTGTTATATCATATACATAGAGAATATTTTTTTTGTATTTGATTCCCTCATTTCATTAGTGAAATTGTTTTATGTATAATTGAATTAGATGAACGGAGAAGATGAGAGTAAGGTGACAAGGTCACTGCTGCTGGAGTTTTCAGAGAAGTCGGAGGGGTACGATTCATCATCAGTGGTGACAAATGAGACTGTGGTAACAACAGCAGGAGGAGGAGGGGAAGATGATGTCTCATCATCTGTTTGGTCTGTCCAGGCGAATGCTGCAGTTGAAGAGCTTTGCCAGGGCATGAGCAAGATCTGCTTCAACACTAGTAATAATGGGGGCAACAGGTTTATTGCAGTAGGGAAGCATACCCGCTTTGTGTACAACAGCGACGGTGAGATTGAAGGCGTGGAGGAAGAGGAGGTGCAGCTCCTCAAGGGTTTGCCACAGCCTAATGGGAAGCATCTTCGTTTCAGTGATGATGAAGAAGATGAAGAATAGGGGACGCATTCTCCCTACTTCTTTTACTTGTTTTGAAACCAACGGCAAAACGCAGTGTCATTCAGTACTTCTGAAAATGAAACACTGATGACTTTGGAATTGTGTTGATGATAATATAGAATATGTTTGGTGTTTGTTTCTATTTTGATTTCTGTGTTTTGGCATTTGATTAAAACAACGTTCATAGTTTGAGGTTAACAGACTGACCCCCTTCCTCTCTTATGGAGTTCCATTGGCCTCTTCTTTATAAAGTTACCAAGTGCGTTACATTCTTAATTGTGAATCCTATATTATTTATTATATTGAATATTAACAGTGAACACTTATTATTTAGAAACAAAGAAAATTTGATGACCTAATTCAACGCAGGATTGGAGTCTATATAATCCCAATTTCCCTTAAAAACATGAGTACCATGCATGAGTAATTTTGAACATGATTTCATCATGTACGTTTTTACGTAAACTTGACATCGCTCTAAGCCAGACCCACCAATATAGTGTAAAAAATACTCTATTTACATCCCCGTTCCGTTTTAATCGCAACATCTTGAATTTTACACTATTCACATACACTCCTTTGACTACATTTTACGCTATTATTTTATGAAAATTATTTTTTTAAAAAAATATTGTTCAATTCATCTCATTCCAAATTTTCAAAATCTGATTTTTAATATTTTTTTTACTAATAGAATTAAGATATATAATTACGGTCAAAGACGTGCATTGGCAATTGTGAAATGTTGACTGTTTCAATTAAAAAAAACGAAGGGAATATACTAATATACACACATATAAATTTTGAGGTAAATAGTGTAAAAAATACATACTGATATATTTAGCTGCATTTGAAATTGATGAAATCAATCAATGGGGCCGAGTATGCTTAATTGTGAAAAAAGTATACATAAATTATTGATTAATAATTTATGTGAAAATGATTAAAATTAAAATTTACTTATATAAAAATTGATTAATAAACTGAGAATATCAAACCCGGTTTAGATTTTGGAAATTAAACTGAAATGCATGGGAGTTGGATAGTCCCGGATAAGGCCCACTAGGGAGGGAGGAGGACTGGAGGGTTGACATCTCCCGAGAAGTCAAGAACATCTCCCGAGATACCACCGCACCGTGTCATTGTAGAAGAAAGCCTCCCAGAACTTCAATGGCAGGTACTGCAATCCTTTCCACGGCTTTGCTATCAGTTGATGACGTTTTCTTCCTCGTAACGCGAAATTAATTGCTACACAGGTGGACAATCAGAGAGGGAAGACAAGGTTTCACTGGAACTTACAGAAGAGATTCTACAGAGCATGGAAGTCGGCATTACCTTTCGCGATTATGTATGTATTCCGAAGTCTGGGATTTACTAGTAGATAATGTTATCTCGTCAGGGTAATGTTAAATTCTTTATACGAGCGGTTAGGCAAGATTAGGTGAGTTGATATTATTTATAAAAGTAAAAACTGCATTCTTTTTTCTTTGCATCCACGGAATAGATGTTATAGAGGTTACCTTTCCATTTCCAAATTGAAAAAAACCTAGTTAGGCATCTGTCCTCAACTGGAGATATCAAATGAAAAAGGGAAGGGGAGGTGGCAGGATGGCAGGGTAAATGCTACTGCAACTAGTGATGTATCGTTATTGCTTAGGCAGAACGGAAGAATCAGTTCAATGGATTTTCATAAGACCTCACCTTACCTGGTGACTGCCAGTGATGATGAATCCATTCGTTTGTATGATGTCACAACAGCAACGTAAGAATCCCAACTTTTTATGAGGTTTTCTTTCATGCTTGGCCTGGCTTCTAACTTAAAAATAGTGTTTCATGGAGATCTATATGTTGACTTTGTCGAGTGATTGGTATATTTAGAAGTGTTATATATCTTTTATTCGTTTCAACTACCAGGTGTTTAAAGACAATTAATAGCAAAAAGTATGGTGTTGAACTGGTTAGTTTTACTTCCCATCCAACAACTGTGATATATTCTTCCAAGAATGGGTGGGATGGTAAGTCACATTAGATGTTCCTTGTATATGAACTGCTGAAAACAAAAATTCACTCTATTTGTTAAATAAATTCAGAATCTCTGCGGCTTCTCTCATTGCACGATAACAAGTATTTGCGATATTTCAAGGGCCATCACGACAGGTAAGGATTTTCTAGTAACATTTTGTTATTATAAGCATGGGTTGCGTGCTATTTGGTAAGGGTTATTTAGCTGAAATGAAATGACTAAATTTGCTGAGTTTCTAAAGGAAAAGCGTTTGGTAACTCCATTCCGCTTATAAGCATATAACCATTTTTTTCCCTACTAAATGTAGCCTAGACAATGTAATTGAGACTCTTCTTGCAGGGTTGTCTCGCTTAGCATGTGCTCCAGAAAGGAATGCTTTATTTCTGGCTCTCTTGACCGAACTGTTATGCTTTGGGACCAACGAGCCGAAAAATGCCAGGTAAATAATTACCTTTGTACTTCATTCTAAATCCATACCTCAATTACTTGGGAAGTTTTTTCCCCTTTTGGTCCCACCACTATGTACTTAGAGAGTTAGAGGTTCTGGTCTTCTTGTTTTGAAAGTCTCATTTATGGTACGACTTCTGTTTTTGCACAATTGCAGTCCTTCTGGTTCCAATGGCCATAACCAGTCAGCAAAACCATGGGTGCCATGTGCTTTTTAATAGGGACTTTTGTGTCCCAAATCTAACAGAAAAGTAGCATGATATAAGAAAAAATAATTATGCTTTTTCACACTTCATGAGTTCCTTCTGACCAAAATTTACAGACAATTAGCAGATTAATTAACTTATTTTATAGTTAGGTCATTCAAAAAACTCGGTCTGGATTTTCATTACTGGATGTATTCAGCTACTTTAGCTCAAGTCCACAATGACAGTCAATCACTAGAATCCACTCTCCATAGCAATAATATTGTTGGTTTGGATTTGAAGAAGAAAATGTCCATTTTTGAAGAAAAATAGCTAGGGTTTCAGTGTAGTGAATATGATGTGAGGTGAGGGACAAGCAGAAATAGATAATTTTATCATTGAGGAAATTCAGTTAAAGTAAAAAAGATCTCTAATGAGAAGCACATGGCCACGCAGGTGATTTTTTCCAACAGGTTGTGGCCAGCCTAATGTGCAGGATTGAAAGTGTCCAAAAATAAAAGTTGTGCACCGACAAAGGAGGCTTTTAAAACATGAGGGACATATACTCTACGTAGTCATGGGTTCAAAAGTGGCAAAAGTTCATTTTTTGTGGCCTGATATGAGATAAATGAAACTTAAGCTCTTTATTGTGGTAGCAAGTGTTCTATTTTGTTAGAAATACTAAGTAGCACCGGGACAGAAACGGAAATTCGGAAATGAAAACGGAAGCAGATTGTGGAAACTCTAATCTCAAAATATCAAGATATGGGTATGTGAAAGTATATTAGAATATACTTTAGAATATATTAGGAATATACCATAGATATTATTATTGTATAGAATCTTATATAGGAATATTCTATTTGTAATGTATATTTATAGGGACTTCCATAACTAATGAAATACACATAAAATCTTTCCTCCACTTTTCAATATTATTCTAGTTTATATTTCAATATGGTATCAGAGCACTTTTCAATATTATTCTAGTTTCATATATGTCCCTCATATTCTAGTTTATTCTAGTCGATCAATTGAACGATTTGGCATGATAAAAGGTCAATCAGACCACTCTGTCTTTTACAGACGAACGAAAGCAGGTATCACATTGCGTGTGGTGTATGTTGGTGATATTGTGATTACAGGGAGTGATACTGCAAGTATTTTGGCTATTAAGAATTTTCTTCATAGCCAATTCCAGACGAAAGATCTAAGCTCATTGAAATACTTCTTGGGTATTGAGGTAACACGGAGCAAGAAAGGCATATTTCTATCTCAACGCAAATATGTACTTGACTTGCTAGTTGAAATAGAGAAATTAGGGGCAAAGCCTAGCAATACTCCTATGATTCTTAATGTACAACTCACTCATGAAGGTGGTTCGTTCGCAGATCCAGAGAGATATAGAAGATTGGTTGGAAAACTTACTTATCTCGCAGTTACCCGTCCAGATATTGCATACTCGGTGAGTGTAGTGAGTCAGTATATGTCATCTCCCACAGTTGATCACTGAAATGTTGTAGAAGATATATTATGTTACTTGAAGGGGACACCAGGACGAGGTATTGTTTATCAAAATCATGATCACATGAGAATAGAACGCTTTGCAGATGCTGATTGGGCTGGATCTAAAGATGATAGAAGATCTACATCTGGCTATTGCATCTTTGTTGGTGGTAATCTTGTCCCCTAGAAAAGTAAGAAGCAGAATGTGGTTTCTCGCTCTAGTGCTGAATTAGAATATCATGCTATGGCACAATCGGCATGTGAGATAATATGGATAAACCATTTATTGAGTGAAATGGATTGAAGACACCAATGCCTGCTAAACTGTGGTGTGGTAACCAAGCTGCTATACACATTGCCAACAACCCAGTGTTTCATGAGAGAACAAAACATATTGAGGTCGATTGTCATTTTATTCGAGAGAAGATACAAAAAGGATTGATCTCTACAGGATATGTGAAGACTGGGGAACAACTTGGAGATTTGTTCACTAAAGCACTAAATGGAATTCGAGTTGGTTATTTATGTAACAAGTTGGGCATGATAAATATCTATGCTCCAACTTGAGGGGGAGTGTGAAAGTATATTAGAATATACTTTAGAATATGCTTTAGAATATACTTCCTCCGTCCCAGAAAATTCTTCCCACTTTGACTTGGCACGGAGATTAAGAAAGTGAAATAAAGTGGAAATGTGTGGTTGTAGTTGTGTAAGAAAAAGGTGAAATGAATTTGAACCACATAAATTGTCCAAAAATGATAAGTGGTAAGAATTTTTTGGGACGACCCAAAAAGAAAAGTGGGAAAAATTTTATGGGACGGAGGGAGTATTAGGAATATACCATAGATATTATTATTGTATAGAATCTTATATAGGAATATTCTATTTGTAATGTATATTTATAGGGACCTCCACAACTAATGAAATACACAGAAAATCTTTCCTCCACTTTTCAAAATTATTCTAGTTTATATTTCAACAGGGTACAACATAGAAACGTTGAATTAAAAATTAACATTTTACTAATAGATATTAGATACAAATAAACATTATATGAGGTCATGTTTACTAGTTTCACCCATGCTTGTCACGGCGTCGCCGACTAGGCGTCCTGGCGCTAGGGACTGCTCGCCAGCTTCACTCGCCTAGCCAGATGAAGAGTAGTCGTGAATGGCGTCGTCTAGGCGTCGTCTAGGCGCTGTTTTGGCGTCGAAGTCCTCGCCTTTTTGGAAAGTCGGACTGCTATGGCGCAGGCCCAGAACCCAAAATAAAAATAGATTTAGGCTTTAATTAAAAGCAAGCCCATAGTAATCTTCCTTACCGACGATTCGTTGCCCAAAGTCGTATAGCCAAGCCAAGTCGCAGCCTCGTTGAGTCGTAGGAAGCAGACGAACAACTCCACGAAGAAGACAAAGTCGCAGGTATGGCCCTCCTTGTCCCTCGCTCGCGGAAGCAGAGTAGCAGGCGACTCCCTACTTCCCAGTCCCCGATCTCTTCTTCTTGGCTTCATTTTTTTATTATTTTAATTAATTAAGTTGTGTATTTATATATGAGGGTGTATTTTATATATATAAAGGGTGTATTTTCATCTATCTATCAATATATGTGTATATATACACTTCTATATTGCAGAATCAAGATATAATATGATATAATGATATACCCAACCTGTGAGACTTCTATTTTATTATATGTTCTAAATTATAAAATAATAAACTGTTAAAATAATCATAAAAACTGGTACATACTAATATATACTACGTATGATATATATTTTGCATAGTTTAATTATATGTATGATTATATATATAATTATATACATAATTATATATATATATATATAAATATATAGGCGACTAGTCGCCTAATTGTCGCCTAGGCGGGCGCCTAATCGCCTAGGTGATATGGCAGTTGGTTGGCGCCGCGACTCGACTTACCACCGTGACAAGTATGGTTTCACCCCGCTATCACTACATGAACCGGTTACTGATTGCATCTATCTGACGAACAAGGGAGTCGAACAAGGGAGTCGCCAAAGCCCAAAACTCTGCACCTGCGATGCGAGTGTACTAACTACAAGCTTCTTAGTCTTCTCTGCGAGTCTCATACTGTACGAGTCTGCGATGCTGGAGGCTGGAAAGTATGTTTGTGACTGCGATCCCGTTCCGCCTGCGCGGTTGAGTGATTCCCATCCTTGGTTAGGCTTACTAGCAGGCCGACTCATCATTTTCATCATTTTCATTTACGCAGTCTTACCCCTGCACTAAAGCACAAAGAGACTGTTTCCGAATGACCCATAGTGAAAATTCCGTCCAAAATTGCATGGACTGACTGTTGCTTCATAACAAAGAAGCGCAGACAGTTTAGTGAGTCATTTTGTTTTATTCCATCATAATCTCAAGCCAAAAAATAATGAATCTTTGGCTCCATTGCAAATGATGGAAATGCGAACTAAGGTTAATTTTTTTTAACGGGAAATGCGGCACACACTTAGAATCCCGTTTCTGAAACGTTTCCAAGATCCATCCCAGAAGCCCAATACCGTAGAATCATTTCCGGCCATTTCTGTGGCATTTCCCGGCATTTTAGATACGTTTCCGATACAGATTCCCTGGGGGTTTAACGTTTCCGTGCTTCCTAGCAGCAAGTTAGCAACTACAGACAAATTTCAATTCACAAGCAAGGCATCAAATATTTGAACTAATTACATAAAACTTTTATGTAATTTTCGAGACAAAATGATTTACCAATTCTGTTTAGTCCTTTCTATTTCCATCAACATCTGCAGAAGTTGAATTTTATTTGATTAACATTGTTACACTTTGCTTATGTGTTTAGGACGCAACTCAGACTATATTTTTTTCTAATTAGAATGAGTTTGGAATTCAGATGCAGCAATAGGTCTTTTTATTTGCACAATGATCCGTGATTTATGCATATAATTACTACTTCGTACATAATTATAAATTATAATGGGCCCTTAAGCAAAGATGACTTCTAAATGCTGTGTATCCTCCTTTGCTCTCAGGGACTTCTCCGCGCCCAAGGAAGACCAGCGACTGCTTATGATGAGCAAGGGCTTGTTTTTGCTATTGCTTTTGGAGGATACATAAGAATGTTTGATACGCGAAAGTATGAAAAGGTTAGCAACTTACTGGAAAATGGTTCACATTATCAGTATTTTCTTTATTTTGCTACTTATACTGAATTAATAAAGTCGCATACTTGAAGGGACCGTTTGAAATATTTTCGGTCGGTGGAGATTTATCAGATGCTAACGTTGTGAAGTTCAGTAGTGATGGAAGACTTATGCTTTTGACTACTTCAGATGGAAAAATTCATGTCCTCGATTCATTCCGGGGAACTCTAGTGAGTTGTTTCCTCTGGGAAATTCTTTTAAGCTCTATTTCGATGGAGAAGGCTTTGGAGGAGTTTGATGTTTTTCTGCGCTCCTTATATCTTTTTCTTCTCTTAATTCTACCAAATCAGACCAAACCATGAGACCACAAATATTCAGACCAGGAGAATATTTCATATCAAACCAGACCCTGTCACCAGATGTTATATTTCAACAAGAAATCAGACAAGATGGAAACATTCAGATCATTCAATCAAACCAGTAACATTTAGACCGGAGTACGAGACCGAATCTTAGAATATTAAGATGATAAGATCAGCTCAATGTTTTCCCAGGCAAAGAGAGAAGGTCCATAGTCTATATTGTGATATATATATATATATATATATACATATGATATATGTATGTATGTATGTATGTATGTATAGAGAGAATTATATAGAGTACTCTTCCGGTCAGGAATTCCTGACCGGAATCGCCGTCTGGAAGGCGGCTTTCGGGACCCTTCCCGGTGAATTTTTTTGATGAAATTTTTATGGCATGTTCTTCATCAAGTCTAGTTTATCCTCAAAAGAATTCAGCTAAAAATTCAATCGGGAAGGCCGTCAAATGATTTTTGGAAGATAACTGCGCCAAAATATACATATGAAACACAGTTAACTTCCAAAACTTATTTGACGACCTTCTCGATTGAATTTTTAGCTGATTTTTTTGTGGATAAACTAGACTTGATGAAAAACATGCCATAAAAGTTTCATCAAAAAAGTCGACCGGAAAGATGCTGAAACTCTGCCGCCTGGACGGCGGTTCCTGTCCGGCATTCCAGACAGGAATATTTCTATATATATATGTGTGTGTGTATAGATGGCAGTTCGTATCAAGCCGGCCTGACGGGAACCGCCGTCAGGCCGAGGCCATTCGATGACATTTTTTGAGCATGTTCTCATCAAGTCTAGTTTATGCATACCAAATTTCAGATAAAAATTCAATCAGAAGGCAGTTAAATAATCTCTACAAAAACTGTGCTTTATATATGTATAAACAGTGCAGTCTTTTTCAACAATTTATTTGACTGTCTTCACGATTGAATTTTTAGCTGAAATTTGGTATGAATAAATTAGACTTAACGATGAACATGCTCAAAACATTTCAACCAAAAATTCCACTGGGAAGGGTCCCTAATGCCCTCGTCCGGACACGGCGAGTCCTGTTAGGCCGGCCTGACAGGACCTCTCTCTCTATACACACACACACACACACATCTTCAGGTCCGGAATTCTGGACTGGAACCCGCGTTTTGACCTCTTCCCGGTGGAATTTTTTGATGAAATTTTTATGGCATGTTCTTCATCAAGTCTAGTTTATCCACAAAAAAGTTCACCTAAAACTTCAACCGGGAAGGCCGTCAAATTATTTTTGGAAGTTAACTGCATTTTATATGTATATTTTGGGCGCAGTTGTCTTCCAAAAATCATTTGACAACCTTCCCGATTGAATTTTTAGCTGAATCTTTTTGTGGATAAACTAGACTTGATGAAGAACATGCTATAAAAATTTCATCAAAAAATTCCACCGGTAAGAGCCCAAAATGCCGCCGTCCACCGGGAAGAGTAGTCTATACATATATATATATATATATATGTGTGTGTGTGTGTGTGTACGAAAAAGATCTTGTCTAGCGGGAGGGACAAGATCCGCCGCCTATTTGGGGCGGTTCCCGATGAAATTTTTTGAGCATGTTCCTCATCAACTCTAGTTTATCCATAAAAAATTTCAGCTAAAATTTCGATCGGGAAACTAATCAAATAATTTTTTGAAGATAACTGCGCCAAATTATACATATAAAACGCAGTTATTTTCAAAAATTTATTTTACTGCCTTCCCGATCGAATTTTTAGCTAATTTTTTGTGTGGATAAACTAGACTTGATGAGAAACATGCTCAAAAAATTTCATCAAAAACTTCGACCGGGAACCGCCCTAAATGGCGGCGGATGGAGGGTCCTCTCGCTCTCTCTCTCTCTATATATATATCTGTATATATTTTTTTTTTCCATTCAGAATTCGTGCAAATAGCTTGATAATTTTTAAGAAAGGAATGGGCTCAGATAAAATCAGCCTTCAGAAAATCCCAAATTGAGAATTGCTCAACATAAAACCTTGCAAGATATTTCAGAGTATATCCAAAATCATACACAGATCCACACTAATTAGGAAGGACATGATTATAAGTTTCATGTACTTCCTTCCCACATATAATAATATTAAATGAGCCAAAAACCAGTTTGAAACCTCATCGCACACATCTCATCCGTATTCCTCACCCAACGTACTTTTGCCGGAGCTTGCTACACCAACTTCACTCAAAGTCATCATCACCAGGGAGTGGCTGTGCTGCAGCATTTAGAAGTTCTTCCTCTTGCCTTTTTTGAGCCTTCATATATATATATACACATATATACATATATATACATATATACATATATATACATATATATACATATATACATATATACATATATACATATATACATATATACATATATATATATACATACATATATATATATATACATACATATATATATATACATACATATATATATATCATCAGCTCTGATTTGATATGTCGATTCATGTTAGCCGACCCCAAACTCTTTTGGGACTAAGGTTTGGATGTTGTTGTATATACTTTGTATACATACATACACATATAGTTTTCCATCATTTGCAATGGAGCCAAAGATTCATTATTTTTTGGCTTGAGATTATGATGGAATAAAGCAAAATGGCTCACTAAACTGTCTGCGCTTCTTTGTTATGGAGCAGCAGTCAGTCCATGTAATCTTGGACGTGAGTTTCACTATGGGTCATCCGGAAACAGTCTCTGTGTGTTTTAGTACAGGGCTAAGACTGCGTACATCCGACCCCCCTTACCCCACCGTAGGTGGGAGCCTTTGCGGCACTGGGGTAAATGAAAATGATGACATACATACACATATAGACATGCACATAGCACATTTTTATATATTTTGATATACAAATAGTCAAAAAGTTTTGATAAAAATTGAAATATCTGTCCAAAATATGTGAATATCATTTCAATAATCTTTTATTCACTTTCATAAACGTCCTATTTACCAAAACACAGACAAGCCCTCCAAAAACCCTCCATCCAAATGGCTCTTAACGATATTGTGAAACGAATCTTTTCTGACGTGTTATATAATCAACGATACATATGTTCCAGTTGTCAACATATAATGTGAGGCCTGTTTTGTCCAACTCAACTTTGGAGGCATCTTTTAGTCCTGAAGGAATGTTTGTAATGTCAGGTATTCCAAGCTTTTTTCCTTGTGTCTACAGGTTCTGTTATACATGCTGCTTCTACACATCAAATATATGTGATGCCACACATGGTATATTTGCTAGTGTGTTGATTTTCTTGGTACATCGGATAAGTGCGAGTGAGTTGATGATTAGCTACTAAGTCACTTGTAGTTTTGTAGAACCATTCCTTCAACCTGGAAAGATATTAAGAACTTTAATTTACATGCATTCTATTTGCAAAGTGCAACTTGGGTTTGTAGTCTGTTCCATTAAGCCTATATTTGGTTTAAGGAAGAAATAGAGAAAAAGAAATGGAAGAAAAAGAGATTGAGATGAGAAAATAGTAGAGAATTGGGTAGATTTTGTGTCATTTTTAGTGGGAGAGAGATGGAGGACAAATGGGATTTGGAGGATATTCAGTTCTCCCCAATTTTTCTCCCCGAAAGGAAAAGAAATGAAACATAGGGAACCTGCCATTTAAATTGTCTCCTCCCTGTTTCTCTTTTTCACCGAACAAAAGAAATGTTCCATTTCTCCTTTGCATTTCTTTCTTCTACACATTTGTGGTTTCTAGATTGAGGGTAGAGGTGACTTGGGTAGGGAGGGAAGGGACGCATGCTTTTAAAGTGAGACAAAATGCATGCTAATTGAATCCGTATGCTGCATAGTAAAAAGGTAAAAAAAACTAGCAATAAATCAATAGTTGGAAGCAGGACTGCAGGAGAGTGAAAGGAGCAAGATACAACTCTACAAGGGGAAACCTTGATATTTATACATTTGGGACGTCGAACTAAGGATTCTTGAATGATTAGTTCCAGGATCAGGATCAGGGAAATCTGTTGATATTTGAAATACATGCTTTTGTTTGTCTCAGAAGTAATCCCTAATGGATGTGTTTAATTGTTTCTTGGTTTAACTTAAACTTCCTCCCCCTTTTCTCTACACACACGGGACACGTATTTATGCTAGCATATATCTATTAAAGTGAAAGAATGAATATTCAATTTCAGGCTCACAAATCCCTTTTTGTTAATTTAAAAAAAAATCACTTTTTGTTTTATGTAAATACGTTTTAGGTTCAGGGGATGGGAGTGTATATGCTTGGAGTGTCCGGAGTGGCAAAGAAGTAAGTCTCCTTGTAGACATTTAAAGACATTAGAGTGACGGTTTATAAGTATTCTTACACACTTTAATCTGTATACTGTTAGTTTTTTAATCCCATCTCTTACTTTATTAGGTAGCGTGTTGGATGAGCACAGATGCAGAACCGCCATGTATAAAATGGGCTCCAGGAACCTTGATGTATGCTACTGGTTCTTCTGAACTCTCATTTTGGGTTCCTGACTTGTCGAAATTGTCAGCTTATGTGGGAAGGAAATAAATGGGAGGAGCACTTAAGATGTATGCTACTGGTTCTTCTGAACTCTCATTTTGGGTTGGGGATTTGTCTAAATTGTCAGCTTATGTGGGAAGGAAATAAATGCGAGGAGCACTTAAGGTCAGTTTGGACGAGACTTTCTAGATTCATATCGCATATCCCTGGTTGATTATATATTGATTGTATTCTAGATTTTAGAATAATATTTATACAAAACATGTATATATACTATTGTAATCATTTACTTAGGGTGAATACCCACCCTCTGGTGTACTAACATGTGGTTGTAAATATGTAGCATGTATAATTAAATGCGTAATCTCTCATTGACAATTATAATAGTAATAGTAGAGTTTTTTCCCAGAATAATGCTAATTAAATAAAAAATTCCCAAAATACTGTTGGGTTAAAAATAATTTTCAAAATACTGTTGGGTTAACTGTGGTTAAGGAAAGCCATCACTTGAAGTGATGGTTCTTCTCTTACAGCACATTTTGTACATATATAAAACGCAGTATGTTTCAAAAATTTGTTTAACTGCCTCCCCGATTGAATTTTGAGCTGAAATTTGGTATGCATAAACTAGGTTTGATGAGAAACATGCTCAAAACATTTCATCAAAAAAAAATCGAGAAGGCCATCTGATAGTTTGATTGTGTTGTCCACACGGGCATTCTGATCAGACGTCATGATAGGAATTTCCACAAAATACTAGATTGAATGAAGAAATAATTGATCAGGCAATTTACATAAGGGTATTACTTTCATAAAACTTTTATACTTTTATTAGATGTATTCTCATTTATCATAAGGGTTTTTAAATAGTGTATGACTCCTAAATCTTTTGTAAATTGTTTGATCAATTATTTCTTTATTCAATCTAGTATTTTATGGAAATTCGTTTACATATTTTAAAACTATGCAAGTATATATATTTTACTGCATTTTTGGCTCATTTTGAGCTATTAGGTGTGGAAATGAATGTACAAGATTCCTTCTCACTTTGAATGGGAAGAGCTCTTTGTATTTGAACCAATCCCCTATATATATATGCATACACACACACACATATATACATATATAGAGGTTCAAGTAGAAAGTACTCTTATGAAAAATGGAAGTTAATCTTAGTCGTTAAAATGAGAAAATGAGTGCATCAGAGCAATTTTTAAGTGAAAAATTATGTGCCAATATTGTAATTATAAACTTTTTTGAAAAACAATGTGATAAATGTACACAAATATGGAGAAAAAGTGCTTCGGAGTAATACAAAAGTGCATCACTTTTCGATAAAAAAACAAGTATAGAAATCGTTTCTGATATTTCTTTAGGAAGTGAATGTGCACCCTTACGGCCTTACATAGTTACAATATCGTATATGCACTTTTACTATTGTGTATTACACATTTTGATTCATCATGAGTTTTAATCCATTCCATCCATTTTTAAATAACGAAGGTCTAATGGAATCCGAACTACAAGTCCCCGTCCAATAAATGATAGGATGGGCCAATCCAAAACTGAAAGTGGGAGCGCTACACCCCTACTTAAGAATTAAGATGAAGAGTGATTGAAATATTTTGTTATCACTAAGAATGTTTTTATTTTACCTGTTTTTAGTTACACACCTGACAAAATTTAAACAAGCTAGATTAAATTTAAACAGACCAAATCGGATCAAATGAGACTTCGACAGTCTATGAAGCACAGATACATCACTAGGATATTGTATCGGCGTATCGGAAACGTTCCCGTACCAGATACTCTAGGATACTCGTATTGTACGTTCTCGGGCCGTATCTGTAATTAATTAAAAGTTTCCAACATTTTTGGTAATTGCTTTAAAATTTTGGATACTCGTATCCTGACGGGTACACGTATCAACTGTATTTTATACAAAAAAACACGCACAATTTACATAATAAAGTTCTTAAAAATGAAAAACTAAAATCAAATTTTACATTGGTTTAATCACACACACAAGTACACAACTAAGTATATCGACGACAAGTAAAATGTGAAATGTTGGTAGAGATTATTTGAGTTCACCAACCTTTCCATAGATGAACTAGAATTAGGGATGGACTCGGGTCCGGGCCAAGTCCGGGTCGGGCCTAGGCCCGGGCGGGACGGCGGTTCAGAAATGGTGGACCCGGGACCAGCCCGGGTAACCACCGAGTCCTGTCCGAGTCCGGGCCGGACCGGGCCGGGCCCATTATCAATTTTTTTTTCCTCTTCCTAATTAACCCCCCTCCCACCCCCAACCCCCCAAACCACCCCAAATGGCCCAAAATACCCAACCCAAACCGAAAATTTAAAAAAAAATGAAAAAAAAAATAGGTTTTGGCCCGAACCGAGCCCAGGCCCGACCGGGTCGGGCCTTGTTTTGGGTGACCCGAGCCCGGACCAGAAAACCCACGGGCCGGGCCTACCCAGACCGGTCACTGATCGGACCACCCGGCCCGAGTCCATCCCTAACTAGAATCGGATTATCTTTTTGGAAGACATGTTATCCTTACAATTAGTAGCTCAAGTGGAAATATATTTTTTATTAGAGTAATGTTTTCTATTTCCATTATCCAAAAACTTTAAGTACTTGCATTTTTAATTTTAAAACTGTAATTGTTTGACTCGTTACTCATTTTAAAATAATGAGTTATTAACTATATTTATATTTCAAGATGTCAGGAGATCATATATGTACAAGGGTGGACCGGTTCCGGTTCGGGCGTGGGCCCGGCCAGGTTTCGGTTCATGAAAGGGGAGGCCCGGAACCGGCCCGGGTAACCCCAAGTCCGGTCCGGGCCGGGCCTCGGTTCTTTTTTTTTTTTGGCTTTTCCTAATTAACCCCCAACCCTACCCCCTCACCCCCAAACCACCCCAAATGGCCCATCATACCCAGCCCAACCCAAAAACTTAAAAAAATTCAAAAAAAAAAAAGAAAAATAATAATTTGGCCCGGACCGGGCCCGGACCAGCCGGATCGGTTCACGATTTAGGAGGCCCGGGCCCAGCCCGCCTACCTCACCGAGCCGGGTGGTCCGAACCGGGCACCAACCGGTTCACCGGGCCGGGCCGGGCCCGCACACTAGCGGGTCGGTCTGGTTCCGGGCCGGTTGGCCCGGCCCGAGTCCACTCCTATATACGTATATAATTCAAACAAATCTTGTAATTTTTAATATTGATAAATACCTCCCATAACTTTTAATACTTATAAATACACCCTCATAACTTTTAATACTTATAAATACACCCTCATAACTTTTAATATTTATAAATATACCCCCGTATCTGTATCCTACCTTTTTTTATTTTGTCATATCTCCATACTTGTTTCCGCGTACCTGTATCGATGCTACATAGTCACTAGTTATAAAATACAGAGACCGGAACTCCGGAAGCTTACCAAGCCATAACAAACAGACCAAACCAGATTAGACTTGAACAAATCAATCCAGACCAAACCAAAAAATTTGAATCCAATTAAAAGCATTCTAATTATGTTAGTCCTTTAATTATGTTTTTAATAGATCTCTTCCCCCAAAACTCCCAAAAACAGAACCTGAACGTTTTTTTTATACGTCGGAATTCGGAAAGGAGTTGTTCTATATTTATACCAGTCTAAAGCATTGTATTTTCATTTCGAGAGTCTGATACACCTGCTCGCACACAACCAGCATTCAAGTATCAACAATCAATATAAGTATCATTCCAGACTTCTGTCACTCTTCACTTTCAAGTTTCAACATAAGCTTTCTGCGCATAATCTGGCTTTACAAGATAAATTAACTCAATGTTTTTCTTAATAAATAAATAAATAAATAACACAGCAGTCTTACCAAATTATTAGCCGTAATATACAACAGACTATAACAACCGACCAAATTGCCCCACATTGGACTTTCACATGGCTTGCAATCTTCATCTTAGAGATTCCCTGCAAACTAAAATTGCCGTGAAAGATGGGCTTTGGTCAATGCTACCCAATTAGGAAGGATAGTGACTGATTGGGACCATAACCATTAGACTGAACTGCCACCATAGAGATTTCACGTCTCAGGCACAAGCTCAATCTAAGGATGAGGCACTACTCACCCAACTGTATGGCATAAATCCTAACTACATATGTTGCTTAAAAAATTCACCAAGGATGCATCTAGATGATGTAGCGGTGCAACCATGCAAGCTGGGCCACAAACCAGTCACATTTTGATTCAGTTTGGCTGCACCAAACCAATAAAATACAAAGTATGCGTAATTTGGTTGTAGTACGGTGATGTTCTCGAAATTGCATTAACTGAACCCAACCACAACTAATTTAACCCGAACAGAACGCTTTAAACCTACCCAAACCACAACTAATATGCATTTCTGTTTTAGAATGGTGTTGCTTTTACCAAACTCTATTCATCTAAACAAACCAATTAAAACTAAACCAAATAAAACAAGGCCGTTTTAAACCAAACCAAACTGAAATGCCCAGCCCCACCAAAAACTAACAAACTGCTTTGGAATACTAAAAGAACACACCACACAAGTGACACAATCAACAAGCTCCTGCCATCATTCATGAGAGATGGCGGTGAAATCTTACAGTTCGGCGATAAGATTGGTCAGCTGACCTTTCCAAATCCACAGTCACTCTGGGCTTACTCGTGTTCCTCTGATCGGATTGACCCAATGAGTATCTGTTCTCTCCAAAGCCCCTTTCTATTGGTCTTCTTGGTTGCCCCCCAACATTCTCCTCTCGTCCGCTCACATGTTTCTTCATATCATGCTGCCTCTGCCTTGCCTTTTTCGATTTCTTGGACTTGTCTACTTCATTTGATAGAGGCTGAAGACCTTGCAAGTCAGGATCCGGAACATATCCAATGGGTTGTTTGGATTCAACTATTCTCCTAAATGTAATTGAGATCCTGCACAGTACAAACTAATTGGTGTTGGTGACTTTGTTATTCAAGAACAGACAAAGATCAAAATCTTTTTATTTCAGGTTTTGATTCAAAGTGGGCCAGCCCAGGCATTTGCTGAGTTAGCGCTCTAGGTGGGGTCGGCTATATAGATCAAGTGATGCCACTGATCAGGAATAAGGAAGGTTATCTGAAGTCAGGACCTCTCCCAAAGATTAAATAACTACCAATTGAGGATCTTGAAGATTAAAACTACCAATGTCGGACCTCAATGATTGAAACTATATAGGACTAGAATAATAATGAATTCCGTATTTTTGAATTTTTAATTATCTTTATGTTAACTTTCAATAATAATTCCTTGACAGGTTATATATTAAATTTTATAGTTTTGATTAACAATAACTTTTTTAAAAATCAATGTTTATATTTATTTTTAGTCTTGGATGGATTGTTTCAATTATTTTCAATAGTTTTCATCTTTCATGTCCAAAATAACAAAAACTCGAACAAGAAAATGAAAATATTGAATGGTAACAGCATGGCATGAACAGTTTGAATATATACCTTTTGGAAGGAACTGCCGGAACACAATGTTTAGCCACATCAGCTACTTTTCCATTCAACACAAGAATAGATCTGGAAAAACATTTCGTCATTATTAGTTTTTTTTTGTAAAACGGAAAAGATTTCATCATTACAAGTGACTAATAATCTAGAAGCATCGATTTCATAGAAATGGGAAGAGCGGACCATATCCACTTACCCGACAGGCAAGGAAATTGCAATTGGACCATCAAACTCACCAGGGCTCAACACTTTCAAGTTTGACCCGAAAATGACATGACATTCCGTTAAGAATGAAACAGCGCATAATGGCCTACCAAAATCTTGACTTTCAATACGAGGCGGAATGCAATCTCCCTCTTCATAAATATCCACAATACAGTTGTCAGGTACGGAGTGAGGAGGTATCACATGCCACCTGACAAGCCTTTTAATCATAACTTTCAAAAGTTGAGGAATAGGGTCAACGATGTCATTTTTGAGGATGCGTGGAGCGTCATTTTTATCCTGCGGTCAACATATTTCAATTGTAGAGTCATCCGGGTTCACCTTATTATGAAATTGAACCCCTGTAAGTCCCACTGAGAAGTAGATTCCGTGGAGGGTGAGATGCTACTCCAACCCCAGTGGAAGAAAATATATGCACAAGTTGTGTTTGGTAGAAGAGTAATATATGTAGGTAGAGTAGAAATAGAGATAAAACATTTGAATTAAAGTAGTTTGGTAATTAAAAAATGAATAGAATAATGACTTATGAAAAGTATATTACTAAACAAAAATTGATCTTATGGGCAGTGATCATTTCCTAATGTGCAACAACCATTAAATTTTGGTGCACTGATCGCAGTGACCATGTGCAAACACAGATGTTGTACTTGATAGAAGAGCAACATAAAAAGGGCAGCCTCAGACATGAAGTCATCCCCGTAATGCGAGGGTTTGGGGAAGGCCGGAAGGGTCTCACCAAAAGGGTGTCGTTGTGGTGTGTAAGGGGCAAACCTTCCTCTGTCAAATCTTGACAGAGCAATATATAGAGTAGAAATAGAGAGAAAACATTTGAATTAAAGCAGTTTGGTAAGATAAAAGTTGAATATAATAAGAAACTATGAAACCTATATTACTAAGCAAAAACTCGTAACAAAAAAATGTGATCTTATGGACAATAATCAATTCCTAATGCACAATGACCATTTAATTTTGGCGAAGTGATCGCGGTGACCATGCGGTCATAATCTTTATTTTATCAATATAAGTGATTGACATGCCAAATACCCCTTTAATATACAAAATTGCACATTAGCTTCAATCACAGAGCGAATGCGTACACTTTGTATATCAGAGGGGGTATGCCGCATTAAACCCAGTAATATTTTTGAAAAAAAATACTTAATACAATAATGGTATTCAATTTCAATTCTAGGTGTCACAAAGTCTAAGGAATCTCTCTTCACTTTCACCCTATTTAGCATACAAGAAATAATTAGGTGTGGGGCGCACAAACTTTTTTTTAAAAATCTACCCTTTTCTACTTTACCAAACTATGGAAATCTTAGGTTTAAAACTAGAGAGGCGGCATGAGGCGTTTTCGTTGAATTTGGATAAATTTCCCCTCTTTCCTCTCCTCTTCATCTGTGTTTACTAAATTTCTCCTCTACCAAACACACCGATTAGGAGTGATAGTGAAATTACAAAACAAGGAAATACACTTCCCTAGAGGTCATGTTTTGTAGCTACAGGCATAAAATTTCAGCTCGTGTCTCAAAGTTTGCATAAAATGAATTACTTACACTTGCATAGTTGTAGCAGCAACCAAATTGTAATGACACTCTCCCCTTACACTTTTCTGGTGCAGTATAGGTTCTCTCTGTGCCACAATATTAGAAGTGAGGACCAATAGCAGAAAATTAAAGAAAAAAATTAAATAGTTCCATCTGACATGAAACTTACGGAAGATGGCCTAAAAGATTACTCCTATTGTTCCTTACTAACGCAGAACTCACCAAATTACACAAGCCAATATCATTTTCGGCAGTTTTTTGGAAAAATATAATTCTGAAAACAAAAAAAGTTGTTTCAAGTATTCAAATCAACATGATTAGTATAAGAATGACTATTTAGTTCTTTATACGTAGTATAACTTATATCTTTATGCTTTTTAATAAAATAAAAGGGAAAAGGGTCAAATAGGCCCTTATACTATTTCCGATCTATCACTTAAGTCCTTGTACTAAAAAAAGTATCATATAAGTACATTTACTTTAAAAACACTTCCAAACCATTTTAACCTGCTATAGCAAGCACGTTATTTAAAAATACTAATTAAAACAATTGTTGATCTAATAAAAATTCATATAATTTTGAAAAATAATTCACTAATAATATAAAAACAGTATAAGTTCAAAAATACATAAATAATTTAAACACTTTAAATAAAAAAATAGAAAAAATGAAAAAAACTAAGTGGAAGTCTAAACAATATAAAATTAAAATGTAATAACTTTTAAAAAGGTAGAATATACAAATAATTTCAAAAATGAAAAATACAGACTTTGGCATTCATAATTGTCTGTACTTTTAATTCAAATTTCTTTGAATTTTACAATTTTTTAACTTTTTTTAATATAAAAACCCTGCTATTATAGGTCAAGAACCAGTTAAACGGCCAGATTGATCGATTTTTTAAAGTAAGCAAAATAGGGGCTTATGTGATGGAATGAAAATAGTAGAAGGATCAATTTGACCCTTTTGCCTAACATAAAACAAAAAAACTAAAACCGAAAGCGATACCGAACATATGTAGTATTCTAAATTTAAAATATGATATTCCGAAAATTGAAGACTCATAAATGAAGACTTCTTTAAAATGAATATACACAATAAATATAAGGGGCAACTCATGTAAAAAGTTCAGTACTACACACAAAAAACATGGCTAATACAAAAGACCATTAACTCCTTTTAAAAGGTGCCATATAATAAAGACCCAAGGGAGTACTATGTGCTGATACCAAGCAGATCCTCTGCCATGCTTATTACATATAGTGAATAAACAGAATGCTACAACAAAAATGATACTCCCTCCGTCCCGCAAAATTCTTACCGGTTTGACTTGGATCGGAGTTTAAGAAAGTGGGAATAAAGTGGAAATGCATGGTTGTGGTTGAGTAAGAAAAAGGTAAATGAATGGTAGCCATACAAAACTTTCCAAAAAGGGAAATGGGAAGAATTTTTTGGGACGTTCCCAAAAGGTAAGTGAGAAGAATTTTCAGGGAAGGAGGGAGTATGATGTTAACTGATGCACACCACAACAGCTACCTTATAATTTCTAGTGAAAAGAACCAAGTTGATTGATGCTGATGGGAAACATACTACAGACCATTTGGGGTGGGGTTGACGATACCCCAAGGCTTATTCACAAGTATGTTGAGGGTTTTCAAGGCCAATGGTGATTTGTTGAATAAAAAACTACTCCCTCAGTCCCAAATTGTAAGATACATTTACTATTCACTTGGTCAACTTAAATCACTCTTAATCTTTTACTTTATATATCAAAACTTTATGAAATTTGAATTATTTTTTGCAGGTTTTGTAGCGATTTTTATGTAGTTTCTGGATATGTAAATTTTATTTTCTAAAACTAATTTGAGTGTTTACAAGGATCAATTTGCTTTATCATCGGTAAAACATCGTAAACCGTAAAGTATCTTGCAAAATGGGACAGAGGGAGTACTACTTTTATTGATACGATTTTTAACTTAAAACTTTTAAATTTCGAATGACTATAGCAATGCTTATATACATAAATGATGAGCCTAAACTCAATAGGAATAGCAAACCTAAATCATAAACTGCCAAACCTAATGAGAATAGGAAACTATTATGCTACCAAATTTCAACCACTACAACACAACATTCAAGAAACCAGGAAAGTTTTATAGGAATTTTAGTGTGAAAATATGATATGCATAATCATGTCAGCAAAAAGAATATATATAATGTTTTTATATTCAGTAAAAAATACAAGTCTACTTATCAAGTATAGAACAAATCTGCTTGTCTTTGTTCCTACAACAGAAAAGATACGTCCAATAATATGAACAGAAAGCAACCGACCAGGACCATTCAATACAACAGTATGAACACGGGACCAAGTAGATTTGTAGCACCCAATTACTACATTAGGTTGCTAACACAGTAAACTAAAGCAGCATATGCTCAGCATCTCCTCCATCCATCCAAACAAAGAAGGAACAATAACAGTCTTCATTGTGAAGTAGATAATTAAAGAAAAATGTAATTCCGGTGAAATGATTACTCATGCTCATTGAGGTAACAAGAACTGAGGTGCAAAAACCGCAGATCAATTGGACATTTGGACTTCATCTATTTTGAATGCTTATAGCGTATCTATATAAGCATGCTGATGTAAAACTCATATTATCAACCTTAATAAATATCAGCGTTCTGCCTCACCTACTACTTTTTTAGTTGGCTGCATAATCAGTAACACTTTCTCCCATTAGCCAAAGTTCCAAAAGTATTGCTATTGGGGCCCCGGGAGGAATTTCACCCTTTGCAGTTTTTCACATAAAGGAACGAAGGGCTTATATGAAATACTTCCTCGTTTCTTTGGCTATCTCATACCTATCATGGGGTGGTACTCTGTACTTTTTACCACTTATTCAGATAACTCGATACTAAAATGATAACTAAGGCCCATTCAACAACCTAAAAAAAATGATAAATAAAGTGATAGGAATGGGCCTATTAATTAGATAATAATAAGTGGGCCTATTAATTAGATAATAATAAGTGGGCTTTTACTATAAATAGAAGTTAATAAGCTAGCAGAAGGAGGCTGTTATTTTGGTTGACTGAGGTGTGGGAGATTGGGGCATCTCGAATAGCCCTAAGCTTGTGTACTTTCTGTAATTCCTTCCTACATCAATAAACGTTCTTCGATCTTGTTCCTCGTTAATTGTTTGTGATTCATTGTGTTGTGAGTTGGATTTACCAGTGGTCTATCAATGGTATCAGAGCATAAGATGGATTCCCTGGAGAATATGAGGGATTCATGGGAGAGGCATCAGACATCGATGAAGAAGAACTTAACAGACCTGAAAACAATGGCGGAAAACCTTGACAGAAAGTAAGCTGCGATGGAAGAACAATTTCAGACTAGACGACGATCGCGGTTGCCAAGAACGTCCCTCACTTCGCAGAAGTCTTCGCCAACAACATCCTTCAGTTAGCATATGCGAACTATTTCTCCCAGATTGTCGCGAACTGCGCAGGTTTCATCCAAATCGCGAGAAACTCCTTCCAGTTCTCAGGCGTCTTCTCTCAGTTCGCATATTATGTCGCAAGTAGATGGTCCCAGTTCACCATCGCACATGGAGAATAACCTGGAAAAGGTTGAAAAAATCAAAAACCCTTCGATGAATGGGCTGTGGAGATGTGGAGTAGAATAAACAAGATCGATCATCAACCTGGCAGGCGAACAACATCTCTCAGTTCGCAGGCTTCAGTATCGGCTTCCAGTTCTAAGGCTTCTTCGCGAACTGTTTATCCTCAATTCTCTCCATCGCAAGTCTTTTCTCCCAATTCTCAAACTGTATCGCAAGAAAAAGACATCAGTTGGCAGTGGCCAACAGATTCGAGGAGGAGTTCGCAAGTGTGGTCGCAATCTGCTTCTCCCAGTTCGCAGATGCGAACTAGTTCTCTCTGTTCGCAGGATTCCTTATCGCAGTCCCAATCAGCATCTCCTAATGCACTAATTTCAACGTACCTAAAGGAATCAGCCTTTTCAGAAGGCATAACTCCAGGCGCAAAAGGACAAGGATCTTCAGGGGGGGCCACAACTGGAAACAAACGTTAAGTTGAAGCCGTCTGCACCTTCAGTTCAACAATTGGAGACGAAGGATGATATTCAGGAAGGGGCAGAAGACGTTGATTCACCAGATAATCTAGGAAGGGGCAGAAGACGTTGATTCACCAGATAATCTAGAAGAGTCTGAAGGGCGCAAGTCGGATAATCTTACCTATGAAGCTCAATGGTTTGCTAGTGCACTAGACCAATACTCAAAATATTGTAGATCTGAGATGGTCTACCCATCTCAGATGCGAACTAGAGTTGGGTGTCCTAATAGATTTTGGGCAGAAACCTTCATCAAAGGGAATGTTAGAAGGGCTGAATCAATTTGAGAGTTTCAAAATTGATGATGGAAATTCTATGAAAGATATCCGAAAGGGGTTGGGAGTAGGATTGACTGGGGAGGATAAGGGAAACGTCAAGGAAATGTCATTAAGCTGTATACTTGTTCCAGATGGGGCTGTAATCTGTGACTATCGGTTTCAGATGGTATTTGCTGACAAAGGGATCAAGGCTACAGATGACAAGAAAGATGATACATTGGGTGTAGTGTATATTGGACCTCTTGTTGATGGTCCTAAGTGGGTGATTTATAATGGAAATCCAGAGTCTATGACTGCCCCACTAAGAGGCTCTTCCAAATGTTTGATTAAAGAGGATGACATTTGTAAGTCAGACTGGTCAAAAGGCAAAGAGTATCTTGCAGAATTTCCTTATGCCAGATTTTTATCCATACTCGGAATAGCAGCAGGTTCTACACCATTCATGTCATTGTTAGCACCTATGAATTCTGGATTACAGGATTCTTATTGGAAAGCTTCCTTTAACAACTCTGAAATAGAATCTACCATGGTTGTTGATCAGTCAATTGATGTTCCTGCTGTTATTATCAGTCCCAGGGAATACTTCTTGTCTGATACTACAACTTCAAGGAGTGGAGCAACTGAAATCCAAGAGCTTGAGTCATATCATGAGGCAAGAGTTGTTAGCAATTGGAAGATTGAGCAGTTGGTGAATGAGCAGATTGGTAAAACTCAATTCCAGCAGGAACAAAGTCACCCGAGTGGTACTGATGTTCTGAAGATAGGGGATCTATTGATGCTCTTGCTAGAAAAAGCAAGGAGGAAGATTCAAGTATGGAAGATCTTAGTCCAGCAATCAGTCAAGTACTGGGAGGGGAGAAGTGCCAGAATGAAGTGGAAATGGAAGATCATGGCTGATTCATATCACCCACCTTGAGGACAAGGTGGTTGTTTAGGGGGGGAGTAGTGATAGGAATGGGCCTATTAATTAGATAATAATAAGTGGGCCTATTAATTAGATAATAATAAGTGGGCTTTTACTATAAATAGAAGTTAATAAGCTAGCAGAAGGAGGCTGTTATTTTGGTTGACTGAGGTCTGGGAGATTGGGGCGTCTCGAATAGCCCTAAGCTTGTGTACTTTCTGAAATTCCTTCCTACATCAATAAACATTCTTCGATCTTGTTCCTCGTTAATTGTTTGTGATTCATTGTGTTGTGAGTTGGATTTACCAGTGGTCTATCACAAAGACACTTGGATTACTCCAAATAGCACCACCACACCAGCCAGGAATATGGCCGTATCCATTGGCTAATCTAAGAACTATTTTTTTTTTTGGGGGGGGGGGGGGGGGGGGGGGGGTATTATATAATTTAGTATCTACATATAACCAATGCACTCATTCTATAATTACTGGGACCTGCATTATATACATACACACACACATATATTTCAATCCTAAGTAGACCTGCAAATGCTTATATCAATAGACCCATAAAACACTAGACCTTCAAGCACATTATTCAAGAAGGTTGAGAACACTCAAGATCTCATTAGCCCATCGTCTCTTTAATTCTCTATTTCGGGGATCTAACGGTAACAAACAGCTCAAACTTTCAAAAGACATGTAACATATTAAAAATTCTTGACCAGAACTAGAAATTAAGTATGAAACCTTTTAATTGCCCATTCTTTCCCTTGTCATGGAGTGTTTCCACATAATTGACAATCCTGTTTTGCTCAGCTGCACTGAAAATGCCGCTATGTAGCTCCAATCCATCCAGTATATTTGTAATCTTCCCATCAATCCTTTCCAAACATATAAAATCCTTCTTCCTCTTCACATTACTAAACCGGATGCACTCTCTTTGTTCTCTTGAAAGCTCAGTTGTTGGCTTATGAGGCTCATCGTGCTCAAACGCTCCCTCTTTCCAAGATAAACCACTCTCATTGGTCAATGGCAAACTTAAACCACATTCCTCGGTCTCTAGCTCATCCTCCTGAGCCATATCAGCCCATGACATTTTCACTCCTTGCTGATATTTCATGCAAAAAAGTTAGCAAAAAGTAATGGGATCTAACTTACCCCAAGAAGATCCTCAAGAGGTTAGATTCATCTCACACTTATATATTAGACAGAAACTCATCAAACATCCAATATGGAACACTTAACTCACAGCTCTCAAGATAAACCGGGTTGGACAAGCGAAGGGTGGACAAATGAGTCAAACTAGCACCTAAAGAGCTTCCCAATCATGGGCACCCAGGCGGCAAACAAAACACAACCAGACCAGGCTCTAATAATATACGAAGTATTACATATTAAATTGGTCCAAACTCACTTAGATATTAGAGCAAGGCTCATAAAAATCCAAAGCAGGACACTTAAAAAGAAAATTAACTATGACAATGAATTGACCAAAAAGACAAAGAAAAGTATTAACAGGGATTCCCACCAACACATGCGTGCTTAAATTTTCACTCTTTAACACGCCGCCGCCAGAGGATTTTGATGGTGCATCTGTATAGATACCCACTTGTGAAAAGACCTCCGGAGACCCTTCTTCCTCCTCCTTCCAGCTCCCCAGTGAATGTGTGTCAGCATGATCATTCATGTCCGAAGCATTATTCCAGCTCCCAATAGAATGAGTGTCACAGTTTTCCTGATTCCAATCTCCTATCAAACCCTTATTGCCTGATGCAGACGCTGCATCATCCTGTTTATGCTTGGCGCATACTACATCTCTACCAGCTTCTACAGGCATAGTAACAAAGGCATAGATAAATCCATAAGCAATTAGCATTAGATCATATAAATAAGGAAAAATAGACAAGAATAATCCCAACTATAGATTATTTCAAAATAATCTCAACTATTGAAAAATCTTCTCAAAGTACTTATAATTATTCGTACATAACTTATACGAGTAATATTTGTGAATAAGTGGAGTATTTTGAGAAATATTTCAATAGTTGGGATTATTTTGAGATAATTGATACTTTGTACTATTTCAAAGTGATCGCTGATAATTGGGAGTATTATTGTCAATTATTCCTATAAATAAATAACCTGCAAAACCGCCGATGTTTATAGAGTCTGAGCTCATGCTCATGAGCACAGTGTATTCATTCATGCTCGGACAGAACTGGTGAGCTAGAATTTCATGTATGCGTATTGTAAATGCATCAAGACACGTTTTATGAATCGCAGAGAGGGAGAGGGAGAAAGAGATTACCTTGATGAAGATATCGGATACGATCGGAGATTGTCAGAGAACATGACTGGCAGAGCCCTCGGGATAGAAAAGGTGCCCAATTGGTGAAGAACTCGGAGACAGTCCGGAGTTCGTTGGCGGTATACTTGAGCAAGAAAGGGTCATCGCTTCGAGTTTTCGACTGTTCAGCCATGGAGGACTGAGTCACTCGGTGGACGGGTGACTTAACGACGAAAAAGGCGTGAACTTTATATATTCTCCGATAGAAAAAAAAGACAAGAGTGATCAGCTGGCTTTGTCAGTGCGTATGTACGCGCGCGTTTCGATGGTAATGGGCCAAGTGTGTGGTGCATTATTTTTTTTAGATTTTTTGCACTATTTACATACATTATAGTTAACCGTTACGGTATAAAACGTTATTCGATTTCTATGTGAGTTTTTGAAATATTAACTTTTTATTAAGTTTACTAATACATAATTAAATACGGAGTATAATTATAGTCAAATTTGTGGATTGACAAACGTGAAAGTCAAATTATTACAACTACTAAATAACGGAGGATAATATATAAGTCAGCTCAGATCTTTACTACTCCGCAAATCCATATATATGACTAATTACTGTCAATTTTGAAAAATACTGTTATGTTTAAAGTCTAGTACTGCAAAAACATGACAATAATTAGTCATATTTTGAGAATTAAAATATGATAGTTCTATTTTGGAATATACAAACATTTTTAATTCTATTCAGGTAATTTCCCTTATCTACTTTCACCTCATAAAGCCAAATTAACTTTTCTTAATTAAAAGTATGGATTAATGAATTTTGGATAATGATTTTACTATTTTAATAATGAATTATAGATAAAAATGTTTTCATATAATTTTCATATTTTCAATAATTTCATATTACAGAGTAATAAATATGTTGGTGAAACTAGATGATCAAGAAAAATCAATATAGTCAAGTTTCGTGAGGTGGATGGAATACATAAAATGATAAATAATAATCTAGGATTTTCAATAGACATAAACACAGCAAACTTTTAACTTGGACAAAAGAAAGTCTAGATGAAACTCAAACGCCAAAAACACCCCTGAAATAAAAACCATGAACCCACCATCCTCTCGCTCATCACTCGATTCCTAACACCTATGTCACTCGATTTACTCATCTATGTCATTGCTCTTGCCTCTCATCCTTATCCACACTTTCTGCCACACCTTTGCTTTTGGGCACCTCCTTCCTCCGTCGGTAAGTCGATAACCATCACACCACTATCCTCATCACTCTCACAATTGGTGTCTTATTCTCTATTTCTCTCATTCAAGTCTGGTGTCGCCTCTGTTGGTCACTGACTTGCGATGATCACTTTTACTGGAGGTGGTTACTGGTCTGGTGGTCATTGGTAGGTGGTTACTGTGGCTGATTGTTCATCACTGACTAATAGGAGAGGATAATCACTGACTTTTTGAGCTTCTAGATTTATGATTGATCCAAAAGGTGGAATCCCCCACCCCAGGAGCCCCCACCCGACCCGACAGGATGGTGGGAAGGTTAGTCATGGTGACTCAGTCAGCAGAATGGTAGTAGACCCATACACCCGTGCGCACCAGAGGTCCAACCTTATTTCAAGTTCTGTGACCTCCACCCGGTCGCTGCGGGGATTCGAACCTTGGTCTATTGCTCCAAATCTCCCACACTCGACCAACTGAGCTACCCGTGCGGGTTCTAGATTTATGATGTTATTACTTGGACTAAGTTTTGGTTTCAGATCAAACTACGTCACAACAAACCATGGTAGATTTAAACAAACGAAACATTAATAGTTCCAAAATACACAGGGACCAAACCAGACTTTAACAATTGTAAAATACATAGGGATCAGATATATACCAAACCATATAAAAAAAACTATTCCAAGTAAAAATACCATTGGTGCATGATTAGTTTCATTTTTGGAAATACAAAAAACGACTCTTTTTATACATAACTCACTTCTTAGTAATATTTTTGTCAAACCCCTATATTATAAGTAGAAATTGAGGATACTTATCGTTTCGGTTTTATCAATTCGGTTTTTAGTCAATCGATTTTAGAAAATGTGAAACTGAGAACTGAACCGCACAACTTGAGTCAGTTTCAGTCGATTCCGTTTCAGTTAATTTCGGTCAATTATTTTGGTTTTGTTGGTTCGATCAAGTTTTTAAACAAAAAGCATAAATAGTAAATTGAACAATTGAGGGGTTGGCCAGTTTTAGTCGATTTCACTTTCATTACAATTCGCTTTTGGTCTGTTTGTCGGTCTGTTTCGGTTATGCGATTTTTTGTTCACACCTACTAAAAAAACTTTGGTACTCTATTTAATTTGTGTTTTGAAAGGTGCTAAGCGCTAATTGGCTGGACCACCGATCGAAGGAAATCATCTATCCGTTGTTGCCGCCGCCGTAGTGTCACCGTTGTTGCGAGATTGCAACCACCAATGGACTACCCCGGTTATGCTAGGAGAATTAGGGACAATTAGGGATGGACCCGGGCCGGTCCGGTTCCGGTTCCAGACCGGGCCCGGGCGGGCTTTTTTTGCAAATACTTGGGCCCGGAACCGGCTCGGGTTGATACCGGGTCCGAGCCTAACTGGGTCGAGCCGGGCCCGGTTCAATGTCTAATTTTTTTTTTGCTTTCTTGTTATCCCCCGACCCCCCCACCCCCAAACCTCCCTAAAACACCCAGCCCTACCCTAGGATAAGAAAAAAAATTGGAAAAAAAATATGACCCAGGCCGGTTCGCCCAAAACTGGGCCCGAGCCCAGCCCACCCGACCCGGACCCGCCCAAACGGGCTAAAAGCCCGGAACCGGCCAACCAGTCCCGGTCCGGTCCGGGCCCGCACAATAGCGGGCCAGGCCGGTCTGGTTTAGTCCATCCCTATCGACAATTAATTATATTAAAGTGTAAAATTGTAATGTTTAGTCTTATTTAATCATCATTATCATTATCTTACCTACAGTGGGGTAAGGGGGTCGTACGCAGTCTTACCCCTGTACTAAAGCGCAGAGACTGTTTCCGAATGACCCACAGTGAAAATCGCGTCAAAAATTGCATAGACTGACTGTTGCTTCATAACAAAGAAGCGCAGACAGTTTAGTGAGCTCATTTGCTTTATTCCATCATATTTCCAAGCCAAAAAATAATGAATTTTTGGCTCCATTGCAAATGATGGAATTTTTAGTCTTATTTAATGAAAATAAAATATGAAGTTCTATTTAGGGAATGCTCCTATGTTTAAGTCCTTGGAATTTTCTCTAAATAAACTTGGGATATGTATATATAGCATATGAAAGTTAGAATAATATCAAGTGGTTTGCACTAGAATATTATTGAAATAAAATTGATAGACAAAATGGCACTAAAGTTACAATGTGTATAACTTCATAATCACTTCAATGTAAAATTAAACATAGTCATCATACTCACTAAAAGCTACTCATATATAACCACTTTGTTTAAAGTCACAATTATATACGTCATCCCTATTTTAATCACGCATATACGGAATATATCATTATTTATAATATTAACTATTACTCCCTTCGTCCCAACTTAAGCTTCTCACTTGTCTTTTATGGGCGTCCTAGCTGGAACTTTCATTTCTATTTTAGAAAACAATTAGCACTGTTAAATGACAAATTAATCATTAAATATCGGGGGGAAATCCTATAAAATCACCGTCTTCAGTAATCATCAATGACCTCATTGGCTCATTATGTTATATACCCATCAAAATTACTTCTAAGAATATACTTAAATTACCTTATTTAATTATTTTCTGAACAACGGTGTCATTATTCAATAAGAAACTTAAGCAATGATGGAAGTAGTAGATATATAAGTTTCGATTTCCACAAACCATACCACGAGACAACAATGCATTGAGATAGTTGTTATAGTCAAGTCTCCATTAAGTTGTGTCAATAACATATATAGTCGCACTTTCCTCTCATATTTCTCACAATATACTCCACTCTCTCATCAGTCATCATCAACATTGTTGAACGAAAAAAACCTTTCAAGTCCTACCCGAAATGCATACAACATTCCCAGCACCATGCAAAAAGGGAGGGGCAAGAGTACTCAAAGAATATACCGCCATGAAGCTGCAAGATAATGAAGTGTAACTGAGAACTATGCAACACTGACTGATTGGGCAATCACGTCTCTTTGTGTTCGGCACCTGTACACAAAATTTATCAGTTCACCAAGCTCTTGTTTCTCAAAGGCAAAACTATCAGAACCTTTTCCATCTATCGTTACTGTTCATAACACTATATTAGTCTCCATTTGTTTCACAAAAAAAAAATCCAGGGAAATGCTTTCTAATTTTTTATGTGCTTTGGTATGTCCATACATCCAATGATGCATGTTGCGTTCGATATGTGGACATATCAAAAAGATTCTGTCTCATTTTGTAAGATACCTTTCCTATTCACTTGGTCAACACCAATCACTCTTAATCTCTTACTTTATATATCAATTTTTTATGAAATTTGAATTATTTTTTGCACGCTTTGTAGCGTTTTTAATGTAGTTTCGGAATATGTAAATTTTATTAAATTTGTTTCGCACATGACAGGGGAATCGTTTATTTTAGGTTTACTGAGTGTGTTTCACATGTGCACTCAAATAAGACCATTAGGAAGCCCATATTTTTATAAAGCCCATGTAAATAAGGTCAAAACAACGTACCCTACGCTACACACACAACGTAAACCTCATGCTCTAGTCTGCTCTACTATTACCTGTTCGCTACCTCCTCGTGTCCCTCCACATCAACCGCAAAGTAAGCTTTCTTCATCTTCCATTCGTTCCATTTTATTTCTTTTTTCATTTTTCACACTCAGCAGCTACTACTTCTTACATACCATCAGTATATTTTTTCAGCATGTATATGTAAAGTGTAAAGTACCAGCTACTTCTTCTTGTACGCTATGTCTTTATAGAACTCTTGTTCTACAATCTAAACAACTTAAACATATATATGTAAACTGCCAGTATATTTTTTAACCATGTATATGTAAACATCTACTTCTTGTACTTTGTAGAACTCTTGTTTATTCGTCTCATTTAGTCAGTTCTACAATCTAAACAACTTAAACATATATATGTAAACTAGTTGTATACTTGTAATTTTTTACCATGTATATGTAAACTACCAGCTACTTCTTGCAGAAGTACATACTACCAGTATACATACTATCTAGAACATACAGTACTACCAAACAACCCTTTTACTGACCATGTATACATACTACCAGTCCATACTACCAAACTACCATTTTTTTACCATGTATACATACTACCGGTCCATACTACCAAACTACCAAAATCATGACTTTATTTTGGTTGATTGTGGCTTTATTTTGGTGAAACATGACTTTATTTGTGAGAAACATGAATTTTTAATATAGTTGGTTCAATATGGTGTTATATACATCATGCTTGATTATTGGAGAATAGTATGTGCGATATTTTTTAAGCGATGCACCTGACATGAGTCAAGCAAGCGCTGGAATGACCCTATCGCCTTGAGTGCGCATCACGACTTTGACTACCTTGGGTGGGCCTCAATTAGAGACATATCATAGATATGTATGAGGGTGTCCGTACTAGTGTAAGGAGAGCTGCAGAGTTCCTTATTACTAGCGGAGTGCACCAAGGACCGATTCTGAGTCCTTTCTTATTTAGTTATTTGTTATAATCATGGATAAAGTTACAAAGTCAATCCAAGAATATATACTATGGTGCATAATGTTTACAGACAATATTGTATTAATTGATGAGACACAATCGGGTGTTACAACAAAGTTTTGTTATTTGGGCTTCAAAATTCAGGAGGGTGAACTAGATGGAGATGTATCTCATAGAATCAAAACAAGGTGGATGAAATGAAAAAGTGTGTCAAGATTTATATGTGATCTAGGTATGCCGACTACATTGAAGGGTAAATTTTATTGGGCATCAATTAGGTTTGCACTACTATATGGCATAAAGTGTCGAGAGGTGAAACAATGTCAGATTAAAAACATGAGTGTGTCAGAGACGCGCATGTTGCGTTGGGTGCATGGAAATACAAAAAGACTGCTTGAGGAATGAGATAATCATAAAAATGGGAGTAGCACATAATACATATAGAAGGTAAGATGCGGAAATCTCAATTGAGGTGGTTTGATCATGTGCGTAGAAGACTGAGTAATGCAATTGTTAGATGAGTTTAGAGATGGAGAGAAAAGGAGAGAAGGAGAGGGAAAGGAAGACTCAAACAGACATGGATTAGAAGAATCAGGAGTGATATGCTTTATCTTGAATTGGATTAGAGTATGGCTTTGAAGAAAGCAGAATGTATATCGATAATTCATGTATTTTATCTTTTTTTCTCTTTCTTTCTTTTATCTTTGTATCTTCTATATCTTTCATATGTTCTTTATACTTTTATCCGTTTTATTTTATATATTTTCTTTTTATCCTCTTTAACTTATCATTATTTTCTTTATCTTTATTTTATCCTTTTTATATTACCATATCTTTTTATTTCTCTAAAGTTTTATCATTCTTTTCTTTTTGGCTCCAACATCAAATATCGATTTATGTTAGCCGGCTTCAAAATCTTTGGGGACTAAGGCTTGAATTTTGTTGTTGTGTTGTTGTGTTTGACACATGAACACATTTTCCAAGAAACATTTCCTCAAAGAAAATGTTTCTGAATTGTTTGAGATTTAGTTGAAAAACAGTTTAATGGTTTATATTATACATAGGAGTATAGGAGCATATTATTTGCCCAGAAAAACATTTTCCTCAACAACTTATATTCCTGCAATCAAATGGACTACTGTACAATCCTACACATAGTTTTCAATGGCGCAATCTTAGTTTTAAAAGGCGTGAGGCGGCGCAAGGCGTTTTCACTTAAAGCCATATGCAGCATATGGCGATACAAAGCCTCCTCCAAACATAAAGCCCTACTAACGATTACTCTACAGGTGGCAGTGCCATCGCCATGACGACATGCCATGTGCGGCATATTTATAAACAGATATTGACATGTCTGATTAGTTGCTTTTGGGCTTTGAGCAATTATTAACTAACCAGTCAGCCTATAATATTAATAAAAACCATAATAAGTAAATAAAGACATCAGTTAGCGCAAAGCCAAAAACTGCTCAACTAATGTAATGACGGAGTCAAGAAGCTGTGCAAGAGGGGGACGACTAAAGGGCTACTACGACACATCAGCTGTAAGACAAAGATGAGATGGATGAGATTGAAGATCCTCCTGAGGGTGAAATGAGTGAGAATGATGTTCCATTGTTATCATATTCTGATCCAGATGATGAGGAGTGTGATAATTGATGATGATGATATCATAATCATCAAACACAAACAAGTTGACATATTTAGGAAGACATTAAACTTTTCTCGGATATTAAGTTATTTTATGGAAGTACTTTAAACTATTTTAACTTCACATGGTTCGGTTAGAATTTGAGTATTCAACTTTTTGCTCATCTTTTGGTGGTTGGATCAGTAAGTATTCAACTTTTTGCTCATCTTTTGGTGGTTGGATTATAGATTTATAGTGTCCGTAGTTCATATTTGTTAGTATTTGTTTTTGGTGTCATGTGGTGGCGCCATAGATGTGCCATTGCCATGGACAAATGCCTTGGCACCATGACTGTCGCCATACACCATGAGAACTATGATCCTACACGACCAATGAAGGGCATCTCAGCTGATGTGCTATTCAAAGACAAATTATTTCAGCCAATATACTATCATTTAGATCCTAAGTTTCTCTGGCTGCCAGAGTGGTCTTGGATGTTTAATTCTCCCTTTAATTGCAGGAAACTAGTTTGTGGTGGAAAGTGCTTTAATATAAAAAATATTATTAAATATATAGCATAATATTAGACCAAAAAACAAAAATATCAAGCTGCTTTAAAAAATGACTTTCTCGTTTAGAAAGAGAACCAATTTTAACAAAAACTCAATGAATCATGAAAAGTACTCTCTTCATCCCATAAAAAGAGTCTAGTTTTAAACGTAGTTGTTGAGCATAAAGAAAAGTTATTTTCATCACATCATACCAAACCAATTCTTCACGTGATTCAATTACTTTTAATAGTTGTATTTCTTCATGTAAATGTTTTAAGGTGCCACACACAAATAAGATTTAGAAAACATTTCCCTGCAAGAAATATTTTAATGAAAACAAAGAGACGTGAGTGTTTAATAGGTTATATAAGAATGATGAAATATGCTATCAACATAGAGAAATTACCTATTACACTGTGACCGAGATGCATAGTTATGATTGTTGCAATTTGTGCACATCCAGTCCCCATCACGCCATTGTTTAGCCCTGTAAATGCATTAGTGAATTGACTTCAAGAGCGAAAGACTGACACCCGGTAACCCTAGTATAATGCTAGTGTCTGCACTTGATGTCATTATTATTCCATCCTAAAACGTTTTCTATTTAATGCATACATGAAAATTTTAGTAATATTAGTGTCTGCGCATTCTCGGAGTTTGTTCTGCAGCGGTGTGCATGTCGGGTCTACTTCAGCCATGTAGTTGCCCTTGTCATAAGACAAGTACTTCCTTGTCTTCCGTGCAAGGTTGTTACAATCATGATTCATATTGTAAAGTCCCACTTTACGATTCTAAATTGATCCAAACGCATGAAGACTCATACATCCACGGATAATGATGGAATCGTACAGATATTAGAAAAGGATTATACGATGGAATAGACATTTGAAAAAGTATAATAGTAATGTATCTCATGAAATTGATGATCATTTGTGTTCTGATGTGTGATTTTGTGTATCAAATTATGTGAGCCGCATATTGTTTGTGTGACCTACACTGTATAATACTATGCAAACATTGTTTGTGACATCATATGCATAGCTTTAAGCTATGATTTGAGTTAGTATTGTGGTCTTGGTGACATTATTTGGTTTAAATGGATTCTTTTGTATGTTTTCTAATGTTACAGCTTACAGTTCAGACTGCTGATTCAACTTCAAGTCCCTCAACCAATTTGATTCAAAACTACGATTTTAACAGCCTTGCTTCCACATTCCATTTGATGTGGTCATAAACAGTGTATGTTGGGCCGAATCTATCAATCAATAGGATTCAATACTAACACTATTTGTTCAACTAGCTTTTGCTTATAGGGTAGTCCCCGCAGATTATCCCCAAATGCATATAGTCCCTAATGAAATTGTCATGTATCTAGAGGATACTGCTTTCTGATCCTTGGTGATATCAAGAAAGGTAAAAGTGTTCTCAAGTCATGAGTTCTGATTCGCCCTCCAACTAATTCTCTGGTTGATCAACCCGTGCAACAAGGGAAAAAAAGTTGCTCGCATTGTCTCAGCTGGAGCATAAGGTGTTATAAGCTCTCTTTCTTTTGCATTTTTCACAGTTCACTTAAAATCAAGTTTGAATTTTGAAATACGAATCTTTTTAGGGGACATTTTTTTGTAAAAACCTGGGCTCTTGGGGAAGGCGGGAGTATAGAAGTTATTGCTCTAAATGGTTGTCCATGTTAATTTACATAGTAGTTTAGTGTTTTACCCCTTCCCGAGGAGTGTGGGTGCTGCAGGCAGTAACTGTATGTTGTTGTTATGCAAGGAGTACATTCCACCACCACTCCCTACAGACTGAACTCCTTGATATGATGGCTGCATCCCAGGTGTCTAAATATGTATTCATAATAAGAGAAAGAAGTGTCAAAAAGGGGACCCATGCATAAAAATTTGAAAATTCGTGACTATAGTTTCTCACATGTCCTGCATTTAGCCTCTTGCTTTCCCAGTCACGAACCAGTTCCTCCGATGCCAAACGTTTTGTCCCCAGAGCTTCACAAAGATTATTAGAAAAACAGATGACATGAGAGTTCGACATTCAATTAACAATTATGCTTGAATGTGTCGTTCCAGAAAAGCAGATTAACTGAGGATATTTTTACTTGGACTGGAATTTTCTGGTCTGGTCTGGTCTGAACTGGTTTGGTCCGGTAAATGTTTGGTCTCTGTGTATTTTATAACCGTCCAAGTCTGGTCTGATCTGGTTTGGTCTGGTCTGATATGGGACTTAAAACAGTCCAAGTAAAACATCCTAATGCTTGGAATGAATAAAGATGTGGAAATCATAGAGAGTAAGTGGAAACTACAATTTTTACTTCTCTGTTCGGATTTGAGTACAAAATAAGGAAAGGAAAATGGGTTTGATTTCCTTTCCAACCCAAAAATTCTAATTTGGAGAGGAAGTAGGTTGAGATTGATAAAAGAAAAAAAATCCCTAAATAAGAGAAACACAAGATGGTTTCCCTAAAAAGAAGTAAGTACTATCTTCCCGATACTGTGATACTGAGATCATACTGGCCATCTTTTCGATGCCTGATAATGGCTTAATATGGCAATATGATTTCAATGTGACAATACTTTACTCATACTTAGGGGAAAACATAGTACTCATACTTACGGAAATGGCCCTATAAGTTGTCCTACCTCACCATGGATTTACCTTTTTAACCAATTAGGTTTATCTATTCTTAGAATGAGTTAAATTAGGAAATAATAGGATGACCAAAAAGTAAAGTAATGCTTTCCTATCTCTTGGTTAACCCAACAAAGGAAACTACATCTTATTTCTTTTCAACTCTACATAAATAAGATAAAGTAAATAAGGAAAGAGAATAAAATTTATTTTCCATTTTTGTGTGAAGGCTTTAAGAGTTGATTTTAGAAATTATTACATGAAGGAAACAAGTGACCATATCAAGAAAGAAGTAAGCAAGAAGTCCCATAGAAAAAGGTCCTATCTTTGCAATCTCTTGATTCAAAACAATCCATGAGCTAATTTTTTATATTATGATGTCCAAAAGACAAACCTAAAAAGTACAGTTTATGGACAACTGTTCAGTGAAAAGGAATAAGCAACATGCATCCACACCTGTAACTGCCTGGCCGCCAAAAGACGAGGATGAAGATGATGGCAGAGAAGCATCACACCTTTTACACTGCAAGAGGATGAGATCAATATACACTATCAAATAAAACCACTATTTAAAGGGCAGTTTGTGTAATCTGTGGAACAAAACTCAATTTACTAGTTCTTAGATATCCTACAGGCTACATCACTTGTCCCCTAGGTTTAAGTCTAATACGAGTATATCAATGCAACTATGCCAGGTAAACCTTGCCGCGTGAGGAATTTTTGTAGCGAGTAAGGCCCAATTTCACATGGTATTAGGGACTAAACTAACGGGGCTTTATAGGGAACCTGCACATTCAATGGTATGGGCGAAGCCCATTTACAGCCAGTTGCGGCCCATTTTCCACCCTTCAGTTGTTGAGTTGGGATTGCTGAGTAACCAGCGTCAGGTGTCAGGTCACTCAGGTGTCTACTGACTTCGAAATTGGGTATTTAAATTTGAGGTACGCCTCACCTTTTTAGGGTGCTTTTGAGGTCAGATAAACACCTAAATTTAGACCTATCAACCAGTCAAGATATACTTACCTGTGCACGAGAAGAATAATTGTGGAACCCACATTTGCAAATCCAGTCACCATGACGCCACCCGTTTGGTGCTGTGTAAGGAACTCCTGAAGAGTTGTTCCCGGCCAAAGTCCATCCAGAAGCTGACTGCACCCCGTAATGATCACCAGGTGCTAAAGATGACCAGTGGGAGGTCAAAGGCGGAGCATGTTGGACTGCTCCATTACCCATGAAGCCAATGCTACTTTGTAGCAAACCCCCTTGTACCCCAGAAAAATAATTTGGATGAGTAGTGAGAGTTGAACCATGGATTGACATTGCTGGCATTGAGGCCACCGCCTTTGGTTGTCCACATTTTTTGCAATTCTCTCTTGATGCATAGTTGTTGTTAGTGCAACCTATTGGACCATTTGTCCCACACACACAACGCACAACCCAACCAGAAGAGGAAACAATCCAAGAATACGCACGCCAACCCGCATCCAATACATAGGAAAAAAATGAAATACCTCAACCTACTGAAATCAAATTCTAAAGCATTTGCAAGATGGAAAATATCAAACCATTAAAGGTACACATGGAGCAAATAGTTTACTTATGGCTTGTTTGGGATCCTACAGTTTCAGCCTTTTTTATAGAGAAAACTTAGATGTTCTTGAAAATGTAATCATGTCTAAGAAGTAAGAACATTCTGTTTTTTAGAACTTTTTCACAAGTTTTCTGCTATTTTTGAGAAGGCTATTCAAAACAGTTAATTTGTTGTAGCAACCAGACGAAATTAATAATTTTCAAACTACTTTACAGCAAACTTTAGCCAAAAAAGCTGACTATAATCGACTGTACATGCAATCAACAATTATAATAATCTATTTTTTCAGCAATCTCATACACACTCTTAACAGATCAGGTTACACAACACTAAGTAACTTTAGCTATAGTCCAGAAACAGTACGGGTAAAAATTCAATATCACCAATCAAATTGATCAAGACATAAAAAAAGATATTGAACAAGTAAAACCTCTAATAGCTTTATTACTCATCATGGAGGGAACTGTACTAGGATGAATGTTTCTATTTTCTAATAGGTACTGTGTTATTTAAAGGGACTACTAAGCTAAACTTCACATCGTTGTCGACTGTTATAATTCTAGAAAGGAGAGACCGAGAAAACCAAGCGGGAAAAGTACCTGTACAGATCCAGTCTCCAATCCGAGGGAGCCACTTAGAATCGGGAGGAGTTTTATTGTCTACCAAGAGACGAGGCTGCTTGCATCGGTTGCAGAAGCTTCTGAAGGCGTAGTTTCTGTTCCCACATCCATTGCACTCCCAATCTCCTTCTCTGCATCCTCCTCCACTTCCACCAACGCCGTTTCCGCCTTCCATCGACGGTCTTGATCGCTTTTCAATGTACCTCCAATGGTGGTTCAGGTTGGGTTCAAGCGTTCAACTCGCCGCATGTGTACGGAAAATACACCTTACTTAGATACCCTATATATGTGCGGGGGGAAATTTGGGTTTGTTAATTGAGTCAAACATTTTTAGAAAAGAGTTACAAAGAAGTGATATGGGTTCTTCTAATGATATTTTGATTTAAAAGTGATGGGATGAGTTAAATAATGTGATGCTGTCATACAGATCTTTTGTATGAAATAATGGCAGAAATGTTACTCCCGATCTTTTAGTAGACAAAAATATGATTAAATTTGTGTTTGACAAAAAGTGACTCCCGCATCAACTAAACATCTCGCCTCTTCCGCATCTCATTCTCCTTTGCACCCCAGTGTGCCCCTGCTCCCACCCCAAGGCCACAGCATTTTCCGACCATCGCCATCGACCCCTTCCCCAACCCTTGTTCTTGCCCTTGCCTACTGTAGTGTCCTCGACCACCGTGCGCACCTCCTGCCCCTCAGTCGCTCCCCTGAAACTCTAATTGCTAGCCGCGTTCATCTCGAGGGAGATGAAATAGCTTTAAAGGAGATGAGAGAGAAGATCTACGGTTGCAGCGGCGATGACAAGCAACAATTGCGACAGAGAGTTCTCGTTTGTCTTCGACGATCGGAAAGAAAAAGAAGAAAGAGAAGAAATCGACATGAGTCAAGGGGACGCAGTAAGAGGGAACGATCTATATCTGGCATGGGTGACTCGATGGATGTTGATGGTGATGAGGAGACTCCTAACAAGAAGAAGTTGAAGTTGATGCTGTCTAGGTCCAGGTCAAGGTCAAAGTCAAGGCTTCCAAATGAATTGGTGCCTGGTGAAGGATTCAAAGACTCTGCACAAAAGTCTAAGGCTATTGATTTGGCTAGGAACTCTTTCAAGGTGCGGAATAAGGCAGCCTGCAAAGGTGAAGGTGATAGAACTATTCCTGATCTGAAACCAAAGCACTTGTTTTCTGGCAAGCGATCTAACGGAAAAACACAAAGGCGTTAAGGTATACGAGATTCTGATGAAGTTGTGCAAATTTTTGGAGTGTTGTGTATCTCAGCTTGTTGTTCTGGGGAGTCGGATTGGATCCACTGAATACTCCTCTGTTTGGTTTTGCAAGTTATTTAATGTTGCTTCTTATGTTTCTTTTTTTTTGCCGCCGCATATAATGTTTATTTTTGTTATTTTCTCAAGGGATTAAGTTTTTACCTTGAAAAAAAGAAATCGACATGAGTATGGCGACAACGAGGTCTGTAGAAGAAATCGACATGAGTATGGCGACAACGAGGTCCGTAGAGGGGGCTGGGGGAGCAGGGGAGGGGTGGGGGTGTATGGGGGCCGAGGAGGTTGGTGGAGGTGCAGGGGAGGGGCTGGGAGCTGAGGAGGGGGCTGGGGGACAGGGGAGGGGGCTGGGGTGCAGGGGAGGGGGCAGGGGGTGCAGGGGAGTGAGCTGGCGTGAAAGGGAGGGGGTTGGAGCTGCGTGAGGGGCCGTATGCGGTTTCACGTGGCGGTGGCGATATCGAGGCGGTAGATGAGTGATGGTTTCCGGCGAAAACTTTGATAGAGAAAAGTCACCGGAAAATTTTTCCGATGACACGGTGACACGTTTTCCGGTATAGTGACATCTGAAAGTGGTATGAAAACTGGTAGTGTGACACTCCAAAAATTTAAATAAAAAAAAATTATTAGTCAAATAAATCATAAAATGTTACGAAAATGACATTTTAATTATTAAATGAGTCAAACAAAAATTCAACAGTTGTGACATTCTAACCAGATAAAAATTTCCAAGTTTACGACGTTTTAGTTAGATAAAAATGTCTCGATAATAGAAGTAACGTCTTATAATAATTATGAAAATGATGTTTTATATCGAGTACCAGTTATACATATGGTATGAGTGATAAAAGTTATTTTTTTTATATAACTATTTTAAGTTGTGTATAAAATACACAAAATACAAACTTAATTTTACTGAAATACTCCTAATACGTAAAATATACTCATATTACGAATATGAAAGACTTACATTAATACATTACAAAATACACAAACAAACCATTGTATTTGTACTTCGGATAACTACAACAAAGCCAAGATTTTTGAGCCAAAAGGAGTCTATCCGTATTTCAACTATACCCACGTACTAGTATTTAACTAAAACTATAATAGCTAACACATACACCGTATAAAACTAAAAGCTGCTGCAGAAACATACACACACATTACTATTAACGTACGTAACTCTTAGGCCATTTATACTCTACGATAAACTCTTCCGCACCTAACCAGAACACAACTCTCATTATTGCTTCATGCAAAGATGATATGCGGCGAGAAAAGAAAATAGAAAAGAACGAAAAAACGTGAGAAAGTGAAAAGGAAGGCCGGCGAGAGAGAAAGAAATAGAGTTGCAGCGCTGCCGATGCCGCCCTGACTTGCCGAACGAGAAGTCATCACCGATCTGGTCATCCCTGCTACCTGTCGTTGCCGAATGATTGTACACAGATCAGAGTCCGCCGGAGAAGGAAGAACGACGCGGATTTTTTCGGCCGAACAACTTGGATGTTGGAGACGAGAATCGACGGCGTTATTTGATAGTCTCGTCGACACCGCCTCGTCGCTGGTGTCTGCGTCTCTGGAAGAGTAGGAGCCCTGCTGAACCGGATGCCAGAGCAATGTAGCAAGGTCCACCGGAGTGATCTGCTTTTACACCGGCATCGGGAATCCCTGTACTCGTCGGAAGAAGGAGAGTTCACCATCGTGTTTGCGCCGCTGCAGGTTGGTTGTCACCGTAGGGGGGAAGAGAAACCTTCCGCTGTATCTCTGATGTTTTCAAATAAAGTTGTTAATTCCTTTGAATAAATCATTATTTAAATGTATTTTTGGGCGGGAAAAATTGGGGGTGTTACAGGTAGTGACATTTCAAAAGTGACATAAAAATCTGTCGGTGACATAAAAATCCGACAGTGAAATAAAAATGGGAGTGACATCAAGTTTTTCCAACTATGTGACCTTTTTAGTCACTTTTTTGTCCTTTTGTAAAAATGGTCACATTTTTGAAAATTAGCTTCAAATTAGTAATATTCAAGGGAAAAGCCCAAGATTTTTTGTAAAAATGTATGAACCTCCAGCATAACTCAACATTTTTTAATGTGCTCACTTATATTACATAAATAGTATTTGTGGTTTATTAAATGTCAATATTCTCAAATAAAAACGGATTTCAACCATGTTAAATTCTGGTTGAGAGTGTGATGATAGTAATGTTATCAAATTATCCACAAGGTGTTTGCTGAATTGCAATCAAACTTGTAAAATAATTTTGGGATACTATCAGAATCAATAATTACTTTAATCTAAAAACATACAATGGCCAATGAAAGTTAGGACATTTGGTACAGTCTGCTTTACAGTCTATACTCTACCAAAGAGACATTTACTTTCCGTTTTATATTTGTTTGTCATCGCTCTCTACGTCCTCCTTCAGTTTATTTATGTCCATCTCTCATCTTCATTTTCAATGATTCGTTTGTTTTCTGTCTCCCGACGCACCAGCCCGCGCGCTAACCTAGCCCAGCTACTTTGAACCCCGCATAACCTCACCGGATGCTTCGTCATTCGCGTGCTTCTTTTGCATAAACGCCAATGTTTGGTTATACTGAAACAATGTATGTGCTTGTTTGCACAGACAAAAAATGACCTTACATGAACATTTTTATGAAATAATTACATATTTATAACTATATTAAAGATTATTTACAAAAATATGACTAGTTTATAAAGCAATAGTGGAATCATAGTAACTTATGTTCAATTTTTAAACTTAAGTTACCATTACCCTATATTGTAGTAACTAATAGTCATATTTGTGTAAATAAGTTTTGTTTTAGTAATATTTTAAATAATAATGATGGATAGTGTACCCGGGGGGTAGCTTATCCGAGGGGTTATTACGGGGAATAACAAGAGAGAAGGCAGAGCAAATGAGTATAGAGAGAGAAAGTATATTAGAAAGTATGCAGCATGTTGTATTGTGAGTTACGACTTGATTACAAAAGGGGAAATGGGGTGCTATTTATAGTAGCAATAAATGCCGGACAGGGACACGTGTCAAACGTTCATTGGCCGAGGGGTCACCTCAACTGGTTGGCGCTGGCAATCGCATGTGGCCGCATTTAATGCAGTTGTTGGATGGGACGTTGTACAAGGTACGGTGATCCATACGCATGTGGAGCGGATATTATGTCGGAAAAGGTGCCCTCGGCTGTAGATGACTAGCCGAGGGCTCTGAGTACCGGGGACCCCCTTAGTGCCGAGGGCTCCAGTTGTCGAGGGCTACTGATTTTCGCCGTTTTCTCCCAGTAACTTTGTTTTCCTGTTTCGACCTCCCTGTAAGAATCAGAGCCTTCGGCCAGGGGGCCGAAGGCACCCCTGGTGCGCATTGTGGGCTGCTTGGTGCCTTGGGCGCCGTGATTTGGGCATGTTGTGCTTCGTGGGCCTATTGGGCCTTTATTGGAATAGTAGGAGTCTGTGGGCCGGGGGTTCCCGGGCCATATACTCCATCAGGAGTCCCTCACTCCTTTTGCCGAAAAGGTACTTGAGGGAAAAGGAGTAATTGTGTTTGTCCTCTGCCGTTGTTCCGTTGTAGTTTGTAGAGTTGTGGGTAGTTTGCTGTTTGTTCATTCTGCCGAGGGCAGTCCCTCAGTTACCCACATGTCGGGACTTGAGGGGTCATGTGTTGTGATTTTTGTGATTTTTCCCGAGGGGGTCCTCCAGTCCCCCACTCCTTGAGGCACTTGTAAAGTGGTGAAAAGGAGTAGAGTAGTTGCGTTGTTGTTTTGGGCCGAAGGGTGACGCTTTTCGTTTCATTTTGGGGGGTGCCTCGTTAAAAACCTCATTAGAAAAAACCCTGTGGGAAAAAATCCTAATGAGGGAAAAAGAGTGCACTGAATTCCCCCCAACGATGAATCGAAAATGTGAAACCCTGGTTCGAAATGGAGAATAATGCTGATGCTAAAGGCTTTCCTTGTTCTGAGGGCTCATGTGTTGATTAGCCGGAGGCTTGCTGTTGATATCATGGGAGGTGCCGAAGGGGGGTCCCTCAATCTGGGATCGAGGGCGTAATGAATGCGAGCAGTAGTTGAAGTGTTACCGGGGTGTCCCCTGTTTGTTGATTAGTTGGTGAGGAAGGTATCCGAGGGCTCCCGTTACCTGTGTGTCGTAGGCTGTCCGCCAATGAGGCGTATTCCCCGGGGGCTACCCGGCCCTCAAAGTGCTGAGGGGGGATCCCCGAGGGGTGGCCTGTTATGAAGCCGTGGGCTTCTGATGGAGTGAGCCCGAAGGCATCTGTTATGTAGTGTGTGGGGCACAAACCGGGAGCGTCTCTGGGTAGGTGTACCCGGGGTCTCCTCTTGATGAAGTGGAGTGAAGTAAAAAGCCCGGAGGCTCCCAAAATATAGCCGTTGGAAATATAGCCGTTGGAATATCTAACGTCAGAATATAGCCGTTGGTGGGCTGCCACGTGGTGTGTGCTCATTGGCTGCCTGTGGGTGGGTGTCACCGATTGGGCGAAACCACGGTTTGTAATGATGGCTTTGTGACCGGGGGCCCGGTATTCAGGCCCAAGCCCAGATTTGGGCGCCTATAAATACCCCATGGTCGGGCATCACTTCCTTTGTGCGATATCATTGTAGCGAAGCTCTGCTCAATTTTCTAGAGAGAGAAAATCCAGCCTTCGGTTGATTCCAAGCTTTTAAGGTTAGTTCCCTCCGCTCTTCTCCTCCTAGTTAGATGTGCCCTGTGCCTTTAGGCTAGGAGTTAGAACTTAGAATATTTAGTATTTCCGAGCCCTCGGCCTAGTGGGAAGATGTCTTCACAAAGCGACTCCCAGGATATCTCGGGGGAGCCTTCAGTTGAGATGGAGACGTACTCCGACGTCGAGTCTTCGAGCGGGGAGTCCTCGGTGGGTGGTGATGCTGTTGTGGCCATGGAGGTGGAGAAAGACCTCCAGGCCGAAGTCGAAGCCGAATACTTCGAGCAAGTAAATGAGGACGAAGAGCTCGCCCTTGTTGTGCAGACTGCCGAAGAGGAAGAGGAGAGGGAGGGGATGAAGGTGACGGTTTCCGTCCTTCCCCCTCGTGGAGCCGGGGAATCCAGCTCCTCCCGGCCATTGAACCCGACGCCCATCAGCGTGGCTCCCGGGAAGAAGAAGAAGATGAGGGCAGCTCCGAAGAAGAAACAAGCGGCCGTTGACGTCGGGCGGCCGGTAGGCATACCCGAGGGCCACTCATTCCTGAACACCGCCGCCCTGGAGCTGAAGACGAGGGCGTCCCCGGCAGAGTACCAGGCCACTCAGATCTTGGTTGGCCCTTCGGCGCGCGTGGTGGAGCCCGGGGCAGATGACCTATTGCGATATGCGCCCGAAGGGTGTTTTGCTGTTCACACTCTCTCGGTGGAGATGGGGCTTCGCTTTCCGCTTCACCCCTTTCTGTTGGAATACCTGAGATTCGTGGGGTTGGCCCCCTGCCAGCTAACGCCCAACAGCCACTCTTACGTGGCCGGCTTCCTCTCCCTGTGCCGGAGCCGGGGGGTTCCACCCACCCTCGACCAGTTCTTCATGTCCTTCAACCTCTGTCGGGGGGGCATTCAAACGCTGAGGGCTTTGCCAACCTTCAGCAGGTACCGGAGTTTAGTCTCTTCGACGATGTGCCTTCGTCCCACAAGGGGTGGAAGGAGCGATTTTGCTACATTCGTCTTGAGGAGAACCCCTTCCCGGCCCAGCTCCGCAACAGCTTCCGGCGCCACCCGAAGGTAGGGAGCGCAGCCCTGTAGAAGAATGGCAGAGTGCTTTCCAAAAAAACGGAGGGGTCTGATAAACACGTCAAGATTAAGGACGTCACTCTCCCCGAGGAATTGCTTAGTCTTGGCTTCCGGCATTTCAGGCCGAGGGGTTCTTCGGATGAAAGATACCCTCCCCTCGATCGAGTCTTCGAAGGAGCCGGAGGTGATTATCGAAGGGTTCATTTGTACCTTGATAGTTTTCCTTCATACATTCTTTTTTTTTTCTATGCCATTGTAACTGACACCCTTCGGTTTAACCATTCTGTGTCTTTCTCTTACAGGTAATAACATGGACGTAGGCTCTCTCTTCGCCTTAAAGAATGCAAAGGGGAAGAAGAAGGCCCCGGCGGGCACTTCTGCCAGGGAGGAGCCCTCCCAAGCTGCTGCCGCCGGTGCTGGTGCCGGGGGGCCCAGAGGTGCCGGGCCCGCGAAGAAGGAGAATAATGGCAAGGGGATCGAGCCCCTGGCAAAGAAGGTAAAGACCGCCGCCCCCGCCAAGCAGCTGACCACCGACGTGGTTGTGATTGTGGATGAAGGGCACGTCTCTGCCCCCACCTCCCAGGAGCACATCAATCAAGAGTTCTTCGGGCGGGAGAAACTGGAGGCGATAGTGCCGAAGGGGGCTTCTGTACTGGAGGGCAGCCTGAACCCTTCGGCGCTGATGAGCCAGATGCTGCCATCGGCTGACCGCTTGGCCCTCGCCAGATTGGACGAGAGCTCCCTTGAGGCGAAGATCCTTCTGAACACTGCCTCCGTAAGTCATACCTATCCTTTCCTTCTGTTTTCGTTGTTGTTTTTTCGTAATGTGTTTATCATGTCTCATTCTCGCCCTTGTGAATTGCAGAGCTTCATGGGCCTCTGCGAGCATCTCCGGAGGGTGGAGCAAATGAGGGAGGCGAAAGGCGCAGCCGAAGGGGAGGCCGCCCTCCTTAGGAAGAAACTTGCCGAGGCTGATGATTCTCTTTGCCTGGCCACCGACGGCATGGAGCAGCGGGTGCAAGCTGCGAGGGCCGAAGGGATGAATGAGGGCCTGGCCAAGGCCGGGGAGGCTGCTGCCGAGGCCGCCCGTATCGCTGCTGATGAAGCCCGCGCGGCTCAAGAAGAGGCCGTCTCTAGAGCCCGGGAGGATGCGGTGGCCAGCTTCACTGCCGAGGGGTGGAAGGCTGAAGATCAGAAGGAGTGGCTCTCTTCGGTGGTGGGGGCTTCGGTGGACGACTGGGTTGGAGGCCCCGGCAAGATGTGGCTTGCTGGGAGGGGCGACTCCTACTACCAAGGCAGGGAGTTCTTCACCCAGCGCCTCATTTACCAGAAGCTTGCGAGGCATTTCAAGATCGCACCGGAGGAGTTCCAGTCCGAGGCTTATGGCCTCCCCCTCGGCAGCCAGACGTCAGGATCCCGCTCCCCGAAGGAGAAGAGAGGCTGGTGCTCGAAGATTCAGAGACTCTGAGGGAGTGCGGCCTCAGGGGTGATGGGGACGAGGCCGAGAGCGAGGCAGTTTCTACAGCTGTCGAAGGGGGCGATGTTGTAGCTCCCCCTTCGTGAAATGTGTTCCCCCCAATTTGTAATCACATTCTGTTGTACTTATTGGCTTCGGCCCTTTTGCAATGTACATTTGAATTTCCTCTCTTTGACGAATGAATGCTTGCCTTCGGGCTTTGTGTATATGATTTGTCCTCTTTAATTTGTTTCTTCTTGAATGTATGCCCTCGTTTTTTTTGAATGTATGCCTTCGCCCTTCTTTGAATGTATGCCTTCGCTTTTCTGAATGTATGTTTAGGACTTAGAATATATTCTTCCAAGTGTAGTGCTTCTCGTAGCCCTCGGCTACTAGGCCTACTTAGTCAGTTTGAAACTTTCACCGAGGGCACAATGTTCAGGACTTAGAACTATTTCTAAGTGTTTTGTTCATCCGATGGCCCTCGGCTAATTCCTTCCCTCTGGTTCTGTGTAGCCTTCATGAGATAACCGGAGGCGAGGTGTTTAGGACTTAGAAGAATTTTTCTAAGTGTTTGAATATAGTATAGCCTTCGGTGATTGGGTATCCTTTGCTGACTGGATGTATGACCGAAGGCCCAGAAATAGTTAGGACTTAGAAAATATTTCCTAAGTATACTTTTACCAAGTCCTCATCCGTATGGCCCCTCGGGCTGCATGGAGATTTGACCGAGGGTAAAAATATGTGGGACTTAGAAAATTTTTCTAAGTGTAGCTTCATCAAGCCTTCAACCGTATGGCCCCTCGGGCAGCATGGAGATTTGACCGAGGGTCAAAATATGTAGGACTTAGAAATTTTTTCTAAGTATAGCTTCACCAAGCCTTCAACCGTATGGCCCCTCGGGCAGCATGGAGATTTGACCGAGGGTCAAATCTTGTAGGATTTAGAAAAATTTTCTAACTGTAGTATGTATGAAGTAGGAGCCCTCGGGTGACTGTGAGGCCCCTGTCTCAGATATACCTTCGGTTGACTGGTGGCTCCACAGGGGGCAAAGCATTTAGGACTTAGATTATTTTCTCTAAGTATTTCCTGCTGCTTGCCTTCGGGAGGGGACCCTTCGGTTGTATATGTTGTAGGTTCAGGATAGTTTCCTTTGCCTTGTGATGTTGGCTTGTGGCAATAAAAAGCCTTCGGTTGTTTGTTATGTCCCCCCAATGTTGCTATAGGAGAGTTTGTAGTCCAAGTCTAGCATAAATAGGCAGACTCCCTTGGGAACTGTCTGGATGTATCCCCTCGGCATGTAGTGAGGTGCCGGAGGTGATTCTTGATTTGGTTTGGCCACATCTGATAGCTTTGTCATATAGTACCCTTCGGGGACGTTTTGAGTTGTTGAGCCTTCGGTTTTAGGTATAGCCGGAGGTAATCCTTGAGTGGACTTAGCCATTTGTTGATGATGTCTGTGTTGAATGGTATCCTTGGTACTCATGAGCGTCCAGGTACCGGAGGCGTTCCCTTGGGGAGCCCTCGGTATGCTTCCGTGAACTGTAGGAGTGACATACTCATTGATTTCTCACCGAGTCTACTCCCCTTCACCACCCCATTTTTTTTTAGGTAGTGAGGGGAAGGCTTCAAGAAACTTGGTTTCTTGGTAAGGCTTGGCCTATCGGGAGGTAACAGAATACACCATTAGCCCCCCTCGGGTTAACCTCCCGAGTTCCGAGGGGATCGAGGGTCGTTTCCTGGGCACAAGATATGGTGGTCTGTAGCCTGCCCCCCCTTGGGGGATGGCGCGGAAAGCGCCTCAGTTTTGAAAATCGTCCCCTCGGCGCTAGACATAGTCCGTGGCCTGCCACACCCTTGGGGTGGTGGTGCGGGGAGCGCTTCGGTTTGGAAGTCGAATCCTGGGAATTTCTCGTGCCCGTCATACCCTTGGGGTGATGACGCGGAAAGCGTTCCGTTTTTGAAAGTCGAATCCTGGGCATTTCTCGTGCCTGTCATACCCTTGGGGTGATGACGCGGAAAGCGTTTCAGGGAAGGGTTTTCATTTGCACACTGGTTGCAAATGGCCGGGGGCACTACGTGCTGCCAGCACGAGAGGTGGCGCCTTCGGTATAGGCGTCCTCAAGGGGTACGGCTTAGAAACAACACTTGGTGTTTGTTCCGATATACGGCCCCCGGTACTTGGTACCGAGGGGTCTTCTGTGAAAACACTTGGTGTTTCTTCTCATTTGTTGAAAGCTGATAGTGGTGTGTCCCCCCGGCACCAAGTGCCGAGGGGTCTCCTTTGAGGACAGGTGGTACTTTGTTGTAGGTGATAGTATTGTCTACCCTCGGCCTGAATGACATTCAGTAGTAACTGCCTCGGACCCTGTGGGGCGGTGTCTTACAGGTAATATCAGAGCAACCCTGCCAAAGTGTACTGATCTGTTGGATATCAGACAACATTTAATAGGGGAGGATTCTGGGGTTTGGTTGAGATTGGTTTATAGGCGCAACGAGGTTGTTGCGTTCTTAAGTGGGGGTGATTGTAATACTTGAAATTAATTTGAAGGGATCAATAATACTGCTTATACCAACAAAGTGAATTTCATGTTAAGGAAAATCATTAGCTAAGAACTTCAAATTAAGCGTACCTGCACGAGAGTAGTCTTGGGATGAGTGACCCCTTCGAAAAATTTTCATGACGCGCACGAGTGAGGACAAAGTGTGCGGTAAAGGCCTGTTAGTTTGTGAGGACAATACTAGAGGTCTGAATGACATTCAAGAGTAACTACTTCGGATTCTACGGGGCGGGGAATTACGAAAGACATGTTGTGGAGTATCATGAGTGGGAAGATCCAGATGGTGGTGCTATGGTGGTGGATGAGCAAAAAACATGGAAGAGGTGGGTGTAGGTTTCTAGACTCGCCTAGTACATTTAATAGTAGTTATTTTAGGTCCTTAGTTATTTTTTATCTTTTTTTTGTTTAAGGATTATGGTTGGTGTTTACGATGCCCATCGTGAATCTTTTTTAGTCTTTTTCTTTGTTAAGAGTCAAGTTCAGGATATGATAAGTGACAAGGATTCTAGGTCGATCATGGTTGGCTTAGAATATGGGGAGTAGCAAATCAAATTGCTTCTTTTGAAGTGATTGATTCTAAGACTTGTCCAAGGGCGTATGATCGAACTATGTTTTTGGTCTTACTAGTTTGTCTGTTTTCTCTGGTCTTGATGTTACCTTTGGGGATTTTGATATTTTAATATAAGCCAACTTCATTCAAAAAAAAATGTTGTTGTTTTAGACGTAGGAACACATGGCATACCCCCACAATATATCAATATGAAATTGATTCACCATTTAATAATTTGCTTCTATGTGACAAACAATTCTATTTTATAAAAATGTTACTAATTTTGTCCCAGTAATGTTGGGTTATGAGGAGGTGGTGCAATTATTAAGAAAAGTGAATTTATGTGATTGATATTGAAATGATAAAAAATGAGGTAAAAATGATTTAGCGGGACGAAGGGTGTATAACTCTTTCAATTTTGGTCTTTTTATTAAAAATATACCAAATTTAATAATTTTTTAGGGAAAAGGGGCAAATAAGCCCTCGAACTATCCGAAAAAGTGCAAATCACCCCTTTTATAGGAGGCTCTGTCCGGCCGACGCCATTTGGGGTGGTTATCTGTGCAATTGTTTGATGATTTTTTTGAGCATCTTCTTCATTAAGTCTAGTTTACTCATACCAAATTTCAACTAAAAATGCAATCGGGAAGGCAGTCAAATAATTTTTTGAAGATAACTGCGCAGTTTGATGGAGTATATGGCCCGGGAACCCCCGACCCACAGACTCCTACTACTCCAGCGAAGGCCCAACAGGCCCAGAAGGCCCAACAGGCCCAAATCACAGAGCCCAGAGTACCAAGCAGCCCGCACTACGCGCCAGGGGTGCCTTCGGCCCCCTGGCCGAAGGCTCTAAACTCTCACAGAACGGGTTTCTCAAGCAAACTAAGAAACTGGGAGAAAACGGCGAAAACAGTAGCCCTCGGCACTGTGAGCACTCGGCACCAGGGTGCCATCGGTTGGAGGAGCCCTCAGCTACTGCTTTATAGCCGAAGGCATCTCACTCGACAAGATATCCGCCTCACATGCGTACAGATCGCCGTACCCTGCACAGACGTCCCATCCAACAGCCGCATTAAATGCGGCCACATGCGGCTGCCAGCGCCAACCAGTTGAGGTGACCCCTCGGCCAATGAGCGCTCGACACGTGTCCCTGTCCGAAATTTATTGCTACTATAAATAGCACCCCATTTCCTCATTTGTAACCACGCTGAAAACGCCCCGCATTTATAATACACTCTCTCTGTACATTTACTTGCTCTGACTTCTCTCTAAGTTATTCCCCGCAATAACCCTTCGGATATATACCCCCGGGTAGACTATCCATCATTTGGTGCTCTCGTTGAGAGGTCGAACAATCAAGTAAGAAACCCTCCCCCTCGACCAAACACAAAACACTAGCCCTCTATCAAAATGGTGAGAACAACACGTGCCAACTCAAAGAACGTAGAAGACAAGAACCTGGCCCTCGGTGACGTCAACGCCCCCGAAGCCTCTCACAGGGCTCCCGAGGGCGGTGTCATCGCTGGGCTGGAACAGGCGGCTGTCGACCTACGCCTTCAGATCCAACAAAATGCCCCCGATGCCCGCCTCGGCATCGAGGCCAAGAAGAAAAACCGGAGCGATGACCAAGTCAGCCCTCCGGTTCTCACCATCGACGTGCAATCGGCGCTCTCCGCCTTCATCCAAACGCTCACCCAGAACCCGGGTGCCTTCGGCACCCTGGCTCCAACTCACCCTCAGGTTGGGGAAAACATCATACTTCCCCCTCTGCCACACCCCTTCGGAAATCCCACCCCTCGGGTGAGGAACGACGAAGGGGTGGTGGCCCAAGATACGTCCTCCCAGGAAGTTCAGTCCCGGGACCGCCATAATGATAACAGGGAAAGGCCCCGTACTTCCGCCCTCAACCGGCTCGGAGGAGGGCCAGACCGCCGAGGGGTTCAAGACCGCCTCGGGGGGAAAGCACTCCAAAGGCCCCAGGAAAGCGGGGGATCTGTTTCGAGGGCAGACGAGGAGCGTCCCCCTCGGAAAAAAGGCAAGGCACCCCTTCATGCCGATGATGCTCGGCACCAAATCAATCAGGCCCACTCGGCCCGGGTTCGTTCGCAGGGGGCGGAGACCCTCCCGAAG